TCTGCTGCTTGGCTGCACAGCTCCCCATAATCTCATCTTTGTTTCTGAGCTAACCTTGTTTTTTAATCTTTCCCCTCTAATCTCAATCTATCCAGCCTGAACTCTGCCCCAGAGGCCTTACCTGGGCCTGAGCTATTTCCTCTGCCTGGTACTCATTCTCCTATCCCTAGATTGTGGTGTCCTGCAAGGCCCAGGTAAAGTTCCACCTGTATCCCCACATGAATCTATGATTCTTGAAGCTCACATATACACCTTCCTGCACTCTGCTCTAAATGTTCCAAGCTGAATGTCTTCTTTCTCCAATGACTAGGTCAGCTTCAAGGTTAAGGGTTCACTCTCAACTCCATTTGCATTTTTCCTCAATGCTTTGGACATTATAAACAACTGTTCAAAACACTCGAGGATGACATATGCATATTAACATTCTACCTATCACATTCGTAGAGTGTTTACAAATTTGGTTAAGGGGAAGTCCAAACAGTTCATTTAGAATATGAGCCATACCCTCCTTCTTTCACTTTATTCTTTTCTTTTTCAAGTAAGCTAGAAAATGGTCGGAGGTTAAACAAGCAATACTTAAGGGCATATATTCACCCTACCCTATGCTAGGTTTTCCAATCTCCTTTCTTCCAGTATACCTGTGGAATGCCAGCAATGTGCTTCACTCTGTGTGGGAGGAAAGGAAATGCAAAAGGAGTCTGCTGAAATTACAGCTGCTAAATATACATGGTGGAAAAGAAACACCGACAAACTGTTGACCATAGGGGCAGAGAGTGGGGAGAGGACTCCTCCACAGACCTCAATGATGTCCGCTTTACATTTTTCTCAAATGTCACCTGTAACTTCCAAGCACATGTCACCTATGAAACTAGAGTCTGGCACAGTCATACACAATCCATCCATACTCTGCAGGTCCATCTGCTGTAGTAAGAAAATTACTTATTTTAGATGCTAGTTCCAAGGGGCTCTGATTCACACCCTTCCTCAGTAATATAACAATGTAGAGTTTGGTTAGCTGGGGACAAGAAGGTGGCCACTTCCACCTTCAGCAGGAGTGCAGCACTGGAAGTAAGCATACGCTGTGCCATGTCCCGCCATGTAAATATGCATTGAATGGACTCACTCGACTACCACTAAGAAGGACACAAATTGTACACTGAAAGCATCAGCTTAATACACAATATGCACGTGTAGATATCCTTGGGTAGAACATTTTAATCGGCACTGAAAGCATTATCTGGCTCTTATGAATCCTGGGCCCAGGTGCTCCTACAACACTGGTGTGTGCCTCGTCATGGCACTTTAAGAAAGACTCCCCGGCTGGGCACAGTGGCTCACACTTGTAATCCCAGCACTTTAGGAGGCCAAGGTGGGTGGATCACCTGAAGTCAGGAGTTTGAGACCAGCCTGGCCAACATGGTAAAACCCTGTCTCTATTAAAAATATAAAATTAGCTGGGCGTGGTGACACATGCCTGTAATCTCAGCTACTTGGGAGGCTAAGGCAGGAGAAACGCTTGAACCCAGGAGGTGGAGGTTGCAGTGAGCCCAGATTGCACCACAGCACGCCAGTCTGGGCAACCAGAGCAAAAAATAATAAGGTCAGAATAAATTAATAATTTTGGCCTAAAAATATTAAAAACCCTAAGGGGATGAGATCAAAGTTTTGGAAATCACAAATGGTATAGGAATGGCAAATATTCATAAATTCAGAAGACTAAAACAAGGAATTTGGACATAAAACTCTTCAGATGTAAATAAGACAAACACAAAAACAACTAATTCAAACACAAAACACGTTACTCTTAAGATATGAGACACACTGAATGAAGGCTTTAGGAAAATGTCAGAGGAGTTCTCAGCTCAACAATGTGTGATGAGGGGAAAGAACAGCAGGGTGTCTGCAGGGCCAGGGAAGCAGAGGCCAGAGGGCAGGGCTCTCAAAGCGAAAATGTTGAACCCTCCAAGGTGGTAAGCAGGTGTTTGTGAATCTCTTTTTATAGTAAATTATGTTACAGTTAAGCTTTCTCCTTTGGGATACCAGTGTTTCCTCTTAAGCACTTAAAAAAAAACTCTGAATATTGTTTTAGGGCCAAGATGTAATTAACTTAGAGAAAAGATTGTACATGGTAGCATTTGGGTGGTTTGTGTTAAGTTCCAAAAACAAACCATTTCCCAGAGCAGAGGTGTTGATAAATCATGTTAAAAGGCCGGAAATGGCAGCACCCCTAGGAGAGGCCCATTGGGACTCTGCCACAAGTTCTTGGCTCTGCTCCGTTGTGTGACCCTGGGCAGGTCACTTCACAGTCTACACTTCTGTCTCTACCTCTGTGAGGCAGGGGAGGAGCTGGAACAGAAGATACGTTTCAGGTCATGACCACCCTTAAAGAGCTGTGGTTTAATTTGACATCTTGAGAACAAACATATGCAAGTAAATTCCTTTACTTATTTTCTAATGCAATCCTCCGAAAGGTGTCATTGGCTCTTGATTTTGAATATCCTTCTTGTGAGTATTCCTGGAAGTGTTCGTGACCTCCTTGACCATCTCTCACGTGGTCTTCCTTGCAGTCATAAGGCAGAAAAGCCTTATGTTCATATAGTTCCCTGAACTGTGGTGCTGGGTCTCAAGCTTTTGCCAACACAACTCTCTCCACCTAGTCCTCATTCTTCTTCACCTAGCCAACTCCTGTTTACTCATCAGAACCCACTGCAACGGACGCCTCTTCCAGGTGGTCTTCCCAGATTCCCCACACTCCTGAGCACGTTGTGCCTATCTCTTCAGAGCACTCGTCATGAGGTAGGGTAGCCGCTGAACGAAATGTACACTTTCCCACCTGAACTCCTTGAGAGCACAAATGATGATGCATTGAACTTTGTAATCCTTGGCGCCTCAAACATAGTAGGGGCTCAATGAGTAGTTGCAGAATGAATTGGTTATATTTTGAATATAATCAAGTTACCACTGCTTTGAAGGGATGACATTTATTTAGAGCCAAAAATAATAAAAAAATCCACTGGCACCTTGTTATAGGCTGAACTGTGCCCCCCTCAAATTCATGTGTTGAAGTCCTAACCCCTAATACTTCCAAATACGACTGCACCTTGGGCCGAGGTTTTAAAAGAGGTGATGAAGGTAATGTGATGTCATTAGGGTGGTTCTTAATCCAGTAAGACTGGTGTCTGCATAAGAAGCGATTAGGACACAGACACGCACAGAAGGCGGCATCTACAAGCCAAGGAGAGAGGCCTCAGAAGAAACCAGCCACATGGACAGCTTGACCCAGGACTTTCAGCATCTCAACTGTTATAAAATAAATTTCTATTGTTTAAGTCACTCAGTCTGTGGCACTTTATTATGGCAACCCTAGCAAACGAACACAGGCTATAATCCTATTCTGTATATAACATAAAAAAATACATATAATTTACCATTATTACTAGTTTTAAGTGTACAGTTCAGTGATAATAAACACATTCATAATCTTTTTCTCCTCCATCACCTCCTCCCTTTCTTTCCCAGTCTCTGGTAACCACCAATCTATCTTCATCCAATCCACTTTTTTAGCTTCCACATATCAGTGAGACAACATTTTTTAACAGAAAAGTAATATATCTACATGATGTGTGTGTCTGTGTGCATGTGCACACACACTTAGCTGCGTGCTGCCAAGCAGACAATCTGCTAGATTCTTCCTTGGCAGGCTGCTCTGGCATGATTTAGATGGAGCATTTCTCCACAGAAGGCAGGGCCCACTTCCATCTGGCATCTCCCTATGCACTAAAATCAGAAGCTTTAAACTGGATTCAAAAGAGAGAGAGAGAGAGAAAAGAAAAGGAGAAACCACCTGGCCAGGCCCAGTGTCTGCTTTATGGAAGGAAAAGGAGGGCTTTAGGTCTGAACCATCAACCTTCTGCCAGCAAAATCTAGCATGCTTTCCAAGGCTTCCTCAGAGAGCCCAGATCCCTTGTGCAGGAGGCCTAGATTCTGCCCCCCTCTCCCCCTCCCTATCCCCTCTCCTGCCTACGAGGATTGTAGCACAAGTGTTCATTGTGAGACAGTGCCCAGCACCACCCGCTCCCTGCACAAGCTCCTTCTGTAATACTTCAACCGGACCCTGCCTCCAAACAGCGACACTACTTCAATGTCACAAGAACAACTCCAGGACTCTGCATGTCTCAGAGGAGCCCTGGAAACTTCAAAATGAGAAAGTGACATTGCCACTTCTGTTTACTGCATTGGAACTTTATAGAAACTTACCTACCTTGAGCCTCAGAGAGCCTGAGGTGGCCAACCACACCTCAACGGGCACCAGTCCCAACACAAGACCAGTCATCTCAGGGCTGAGCCCAGTGGGAACCAGGCAAAGCAGGGGGGACCCATGGTCAGAAAGGAACACACATCCAGGCTTCACCACAAGGGGACGCTGGGGCAGGGAAGAAATTTGAGGCTGCGCATTTGCCCCAATGAGGTGGATGATCTCAGAGTCTATTGATTGATTGGTTTTGGAGAACATTAGATTGGTGAGATACTCCCATCTAAGACCCTGATAAATGTCTACGATGGTCCAGACACTTAATAAATGCTGGGTAATGACACTTTAAATTTATGCTGAAACCACAATTTACATTTCAACAAACGTGAAGATTTCTAAGCTAGTCAAAGGAAAAGACATATTTTTTTTGGGTTAATAACTAAGTGATTTCAGGAATACAGCCTTTGGGGCCAGACTGGACTCAAAACCTGGCTGCTCCACTCACTGGTAGCATGACCTTGAGCAAGTAACTCAAGCATGCTGGCCTCAGTTTCCCCATCTATAAAATAGGTAAGAACAGTACTTCCCTCACAGGGCTGTTATGAAGCTAAAATGATTTATTACTTGTAAAGCACTTAGAACAGTCCTGTAACTGGCACAGAGAAAGCATGAAGAAACGTTAGCTACAAACCAACAAAAGAGATTTTTTTTCCCCCTAAGAACATAAGCTTCACTTGAAGTAACATACCTTAACTTTGGAGTTCTCTATCAAATGCTGAGCCATGGATTTGATCAGTACATCAAAGAAAAACCATGAATACTAAAAGAAAAAAGAACAGGACCCAGTAAGAACAACAAATTAGTAGGTGAGATGTGAACTCTCTCAGGCTGACAATGTTACTGACACAAAGCAGGTGTGACTCTAAAACACAGCTGCACCTCTTGGGACATTATGATCAGAGCCAAGAAGAGAACGGCGGACGTCGTCTGCTTGCACAAGTTCAGCAACAAAGAGCTGCATCCTGCCGGGAAACTGGACGCCTGTGCTCAGCGTGGCACAACCAGCAAGAGGCTCTGCGGAGTTACGGGCGTCGTCTTTCCCCTTTACTGACCTCTGCTTGGTGACACCTGTCGTTAGTATCTCTAAGTCAGTGACCTTCATCATTGACTTGAACACAATGACTATTAATCCTCAAGAGCCAATGAAACTCTGAACACAGTGATGCTTTGCAGCTCTTCTCTCAAGACACAATCAGAAAAATTGGTATCAGAGAACAAACTCTGCTACCCCTTTTTAGGGGGTGGTGATTGTCTCTAAGAGCACTCAGAAAGGCTGTATTGATCAGGCTGTGGGGTGAATTCCTGTTAATCAGTTTCAATCGGAGTCACACTGACTCTCCTGACATACCTTCAGTAGTTTGTTGCTGGTGAGGAAATCAGCTGAAGGCTTGAGAATCGTGGTCATGGATTTGGTCAGTTCTTCATGCACTGTCTTGTATTCAGAGGCAACGTATGGTTCAGCCTTATACGCATACTTTGAAGAAAAGGGAAAGAGACTTTAATGCACTGGCTCTCCACGGTGGGCTGAAAGCTTGAGTGACTCCCAAGAATGGAAATCAGGGACTGAGGGACAATCTCATTTGTGGGAGAGGAAGGTGTGGATACAAAGATGGGAAGGGTGAGTGTCATGTGATAAAAAGGAGTCCAGGATGTCTTCAAGAAACTATGTGAGTCATCCGACCCAGTCACATCAGTGACCAGCCAGCCCATCACTCCACCTGTGCCAGGGGCTTCAAGGAATGTGTGGCACAGCAACAGATGACTGATATCCTCAAGGACCAGAACTTTACTTTTAAAATTATCGCATAGTTGTAATTTACGAAGGTATTTAATACTAAACAGAATATGTGCAACTGTTTAGAATAGTAACTGCCACTCTACTTACTGGATGTCATATATAAATAAATAACTTGTTGATGTTTATCCTAACAACATCTCTTGCTGTCCCACTGAGTCATCTGATTTGACTGTAGCCAGAGCTAACCTTCCTATCTGGGAGAAGCATTTTTGCTGGAAATTTTAGGTGGAAAAAAAAAAAAAAAACCATGAAGACACCTAACTTTACCAGAGGCCTAGGTAAGAACAACTTAAAATTCTTCTTTAAACTCCTGCATTGAGTCATATTATTTGGAAAACCCATTAAAAGAAATGTAATTGAAGGAATGGAATTAAGTAAATTAATGAATGGCTGCCCCTCTTTGTACCTCCCCTATTCAGGTACAAGCGTTGGCTATGAGGAATAGAAGAGAAAACATAAGTTACAAGTACCTCCCCAAATAACCAGGTTTGTGAAAAAATAAGTCCTTAGAAGGAAAATTGGAGAACCACAGATGTAAGTGATCAGAACAGTGTGTTTTACATACCTTAACATATGACCTCAAGTGGCTCTCCAATCCTTCCTCATGGCACTGGGCAACCACATGAATAATGACCCTACACACCACAGGAGTGAATAAAGCAATGAATATGTAAAAATGGAAACATTTCATTATTATCACAGCAGTAGTAGAACAATGATGATGCTATTGGCACTTAGGAAACAAGGAGACAAGGAATTAGATGGGGTCCTTACATACGAGATCAAAGACATTTCTTAAACATAATGTTCAGCACATAGTAGCATCCCAGCTAAGCATGACTGCTCCAGATGTGGACAGACTGGAAGTGAGGAAAAGCATCCATCCATCCACCTCCCTTACCGAGTCACGTTAACCGCGACTTCTTCCTGCGTGGCTCTGGTGAGGACGCGGAACAGCTGGTTTAGGATAGTGGGCAAGAAGGCGATCATCACGTGGCCTTCCATCGCGTGCAGACTCTATGGACACGGAATGGCACAGTTCATGTTATCCCTCTAAAAGTAAACCAGCCCAAAGTCCTTTCCACTCTGTTCCAAATAAGGATAGAAGAACTCCCTCTAAAACAAAGGGAAGGCTGTGGTGGGCAGAATGTCCCCAGAGGCGTCTGTGTCTCAGTCCACCTGTGAAGACGTCACATGGCCCAGAGGAGGTAAGGCTGCTAGTCAGGCCTCACGATAGGGATTATCCAGGTGGGCCCATGGAATTGCAAAGGGCCATAAGCTGGATGAGGGAGGCAGAAGGGGATAGGAGTCAGAGGCAGCTGGGATGGAGGAAGCAGGGTCAGAGAAACGCTGTGCAGCTGTCTTTGAGATGGAGGGAGGGGCCACAAGCAATCACATATAAAAACTTCACTGTTTATGTGGATATGTATTCCATTTTCCTTCTTAAACCAAACAAATTTCTATCCCATTTCTCATATTTCTTGTTTTGTCCCCATGCCCTTTTAGCTATTTCCCCTTTCCAAAATGCTCCCCACAACCACGTTCTGGATGAAGCTCCCCTAGACAAACCCTGCCTGGCTCTTGCTGCTTAGACACTCCAGGAACCCCTTGCACAAAGCTGGGACTGGTTCTGTGTATTATTTCTTTGAGTTGTCTGCCTAGCATGCAGTCCAAGTTTATAGTATCTCCTACAATGAACTAGAAGTTCCCTAAGGGTGAGGACTGAAGTCGCTGCTTCTGTGCCCATCATTGTGCTTGGTACCCAGGGAGGTCCATCTCAAGTGAGGGGTTTTCCATGCATGAGAAACAGTATGTTTTAGAGACCCTGCCTTGAGCAAAGGATACATGGGCCTAGGACACAGGCAGGAGTAGTGCCGTTCCTAGGTCCACTCCTTGCCACTATCTAAACCTCATAGAAGCTACCGATGTGAGACATCCAGGTAAGAGCTTCCAAGGGGTGAGAACAACACTCATCACCAAAGAGAAAACCCAGCCTACACCAAACTCATTCAAAAGGGGATATTAAGAAAGCCATCTGATACCTTAAGGTACTTTACAAGTTCGTTTCCTAAGGCTTGGGCTCCAGATTCGGTTTTCTGACAGTACTGGAAGAAATTATGTAAATGCTGATCCTGCGGTGGGGAAAAAGGAAAAGAAGAAGAAAGTCTATTAGTATACACTCTGTGGAAATAAAAGCATTTATTTCTTGCAGCATGCTTTTTTGCTGTTTTTGTTGTTGTTGTTGTTGTTGCTGTTTTTTAGAGACAGAGTCTTGCTCTGTCGCCCTGGCTGGGGTGCAGTGGCACGACCATGGCTTATTGCAGCCTTGACCTCCCAGCCTCCTGCAATCCCCTCCACCTTAGCCTCCTAGGTAGCTGGGACTACAGGCACACATCACCATGCCTAGCTAATTTTTGTATTTTTGTAGAGACAAGGTTTTGCCATGTTGGCCAGGCTGTTCTCAAACCCCTGGGCTCAAGTGATCTGCCCACCTTGGCCCCCCAAAATGCAAGGATTACAGGTGTGAGCCACTGTGCCCAGCTTCATCTTATTAAGACTAAAAATTGATCATGTACAAATAATAACATCAAGAAGATCCTCCCACAAAAGAGGAAATCTGTTGGAAAATGATGCTTGTTCTAGTCTTTTATATGAATACATATGAGCACCTCAGTTGTACTTTCTTTAGAAAAAGACCTATAGAGTAAAAAAATAGTAATATAACACATTAGGATTTTTTTCTTCTTGCAAAATGGTGCAAACTTAGTCACAGAGCAGCCACTGCTAATTTTGTTGAAGGAGCACGTACCTGAGTATACACTGTAGAAACCAGATGAGTGGAAATTTTCAGCAGTGGCTTGCCTCCATCTACCCATTTAATTTCCGGACCATAATGCTAAAAAAAATATGGAGGGAACAATATCTCTACATATTAGTTATTTTGGCTCTAACATGATTATCAATGAGGGTAATGACGAGGGACTGAAAAGAGGGCCCAGAGAACTTTAGTGACTTGGCAACTGTGCCAGGCCCACAGCAGGAACGCAGATGATACACGTTTCTGCCCCCTTTCTTTCCCCAAAGTACAATGCTTTTATTACTGGATTTTCTAAGTTATCGTTTCTGTTTCTTGCAGCTGTGTGAGTTATTGTTCATTTGAGAGGAAAAGAATCCTACTATACCAGTATCTGAACCCAACTTGAGCTCAGGATTCTGAAGGAGACAGTAAAAGGTGCCAGATAAAGCAAACAGCACAATATGCAGGCCTGGCATGGGCAAAGGGTCAATCGTCTGCTCACACTAACTTCAACTTTTGAAACCTCAGTTTTTCTGTCACGCTCAATTATACAAGTTATTCTTCTTTGGGAAAATTTAACTATTTGTCTATAATATGAACTCAAATTTGGCATTATTTAAATGCAGACAAACATAAAAAGAACAGGCTTTATTTAAGCATGTTATAAAGCTGCAGTCTATAAAATTTAAGATGGCTAAAAAGGATGCAAAGTCAACAAAGCAATTGAAGAAATCTGGGGAAAATTAGGCTTTCATGAATCAGAAAGGTTTCAGAATGTGCAACCACGTGGGTGAGAGATTTGGCGAACTTGACTTACTTTAAGCTAGAGGAAAATTCCTAATAGTTTGCATGACCTTAAGAACTCATCTTTATTTGAGCATGGCCAGTTGGCAGAGACAGACCTTATCCCAAATCTCCAAGTCTCTATTTCTCTGCTGAGACACCACTCAGCAGAGAGTCTGATCAGGGCTTACAAAATGCCCAAACCGTAATTCTGACATTGCGGTAGCTGCTAACAGCACTGCCTTCAATTGGCCAAAGTTCACTTGAAAATGAATAACTAAAATCAAAATGGTGGAAGAGCAAAAACACTGTGTGCTTTTTGTGTGTTGTTGTTGTAGTTGTTCTTTAATGTTTTCTGAAGAAACTGGGATGAACCGATCCTAAAATGTGACATACCCTGCCCATTCCAAGCTCCTGGTAGCCAAGGTAGCCTGAAGGAAGGTTCGCCGAGACCGGGATGTGCTGCTCGCTCGTCACCACCCTTCCGTCTTTCAGGAGGGGAAGCCAGGAGTAGCCAACTGTTGAAAACAAAGAACAACGACAACAACAAAATACTGTGAGTGTATGAAAACTTATGAAAGAAAGCCAATGTAAAACTCTCTGATTTTTAAGAACTTTTCATATCAATTAGAGTAAGAAATTTAAAAGGCCCTAAATGTAATCTCTGTAGAACATTGTCTACAATGTACTTAGGCCTCTTTGGGGTTAGAACTCTACAATCTTCTTTTATAAAAATGTACATATGCAGGCTGGGCATGGTGGCTCACACCTGTAATCCCAGCACTTTGGGAGGCAGAGGTGGGCAGATTGCTTGAGCTCACGAGTTCGAGACCAGCCTGGGCAACATGGCGAAATCCCGTCTCTACAAAAAAATACAAAAATTAGCCAGGGGGCGGTGGTGCATGCCTATAGTCCCAGCTATTCGGGAGGCTGAGGTGGGAGGACAGCTTGAGCTCAAAAATTAAAAAAAAAAAAAAAAAAAAAAATTACATATGCAACCCAGACATGCTACATATCCGTTACCTACAAAATTCATCTAAAGATCCCTTTGCAAACACATGGAAATTCAGAATCCTACTACAATTTAAGAACCTAATGTTTCAATTATTTAAAATCAAAGGAATGGTGAACCCCCCGCAACCTTGGGTTTCAACGACATCCCTCTTCTTCGTGCTTCCTTTACTTGAGTTGTCACAGCTGACATGGAAGAATGTGAGCAACAGGTGGTGCTTTTCATGCAGCTGAGTGGGCAACTCTATTTTAATCTGCAAGGAAGACAAAATAACAACCGAATATTCTAAAAACACAGAAATTCTCAGTGAAAGCAGAGACACTATGTGTTACCCAATGCACAAACGTGCACTTGTTCTCCGAGCGGATATTAACATTTGCACTCAAAGATACTGAGACTATAAATTATGCCAAGCAAGAAATGAATCCTGAATTCACCACTCAGAAACAGGAAGAGAGTTGATGGTATTTCTAGAAAGAATTGGAAAACACATGATAGTAACTACTACGCTAAGTTACCACAGCCAAGGCATTATGAAGAACCAGGATAGAACATTCCAAAGTAGCATGCATACAACGGTTTCAATGAACTACATTACAATTTTATGTAAACAAATCCAATGATAAGAAAGAAAGATTCTCAGGTCCAACAAATGTAACTAAAGTATGAATTTGAAAGGAAATAAACCAGAATATTAATTGTGGTAGTGATAGTGGGATTATGACTTTTTCTTTTCTGTATTATCTGCATTTTCCAAGTTTCTATTTTTTTAAAAATGAAAATGTTACTTTTACAATCAGAAAAAAACATATATAAGAAATACTTCAACATGCAGTTCTATCTCTGTAATTTCAGGGTAATATGCAGCTTCTCCTGAATTTTGCTTTACCAGGCAAATACATTAAAGTTTCCCTTAAAAACTGGTCAAGTTTTCCCTTGAATACATCACTTACCTCATCATAAAATTCTGGGTTTTGGTGATGGTGTAAAACTGCAGCAAAGGCGCTTCTTGTGAACACTGGCCCGCCAGGTCTGCCATAAATGCACTAAAATAAGAGTTACCAAAGAGAAACATCAGGGTTCGATTGAGTAAGAAATTAAACTCGGATATATTGTAAAGAAGGAGGCATTCCTACGGCGTAGACTTAACATCGCCACTTCTGACAGACCCCAGGCCTGTGAACCCCAGACTGCTGGGTCCTGCCCACCTTCCAGCTTGCTTCAAAGCCCACCTGCCTGCTCCCCGTTCTGCCCTTCCAGGTCACAGCCCTGGATGACGCCTTGCTCACTGTTCCCTTTCACATTTCCATGCCTTTTCTTATGCAATTCTTCCGTCCAAATAACCTTTGCTTCTCTGTGCATCAAGAAAACACTCAAGCATTCTTCAAGAAATTGTCAACTCCTTCCATGTGTCCCCTCAGCATTTTTCTGTATTAATTTTCAGTTTTGTCCAAAACTCCATTTCCTACCATCTGTGCACCAAGATCTTTTTCTCCATGGCTGTTTTTCCCACTAGACTGAATTTCTTGAGGACAGAAACTATATTTTTATATATATATATATATATATTTTTTTTTTTTGCATCTTTGTCTCCTTCTTCTCTTAAGAAGTCACTTTCACATAGTCACAGTAAAACAATTTGGGTCACGGAGGCAGATTGCCTGGGTTTGAATCTTGGTTCCACTAATGTTTTACCTGAGGCAATAAATTCTGCACTACTCCCCTCACCTGAAAAATATGGATAATAATAATACTTAATTCATCAAAAGACTGTTATGAGAACCAAAATAGTTAAACACACACTAGAACAGTACCTGAAGTACAAACAGCTTTCAATAAACGTTGCCTATAATCTATTGCTGTGATTATTACTATACTGTAGTAAACATTTAATAAAGATCATCGATTGTTGATCAGTTATTACTATTTCTGTTATCAACATTATTCATATCATAATTCATAGCACTGACAGTATGAGCACTTGGCTCATAGTAGGTGGACAGTAAGTGTTTGCTGAATTCAGTATGTATAAGAAACTTTCATCCTTAAAGAGAATAAAAAAACAGTCAATTAGGAGCAAGAACCTAAATATTCCATATTCGTTAAGATTCAGCATATATGTTTATACATCGTAACATTATCTATTTTTGATTTGTGTCAATTAAAATGTGCTAAATTGTTTTGGTTGTATGGTATCACGAAAGTGCATTTTGAAAATGGAAAAATCAGAATAGGTAGGTGAACATACATTTAAAAAAAAAAACAAAAAACAAACCTTAAGGGGCTGAGAGTCTTCCTCATCTGAATCTTTGAATTCAATGCAAATCGCAATATTTCTAGCCTGCAGCAATAGTTAAACAAAACAGAATAAGAAAAAAAACTCAGAAAGTCAGACTATGTAAATATTTATAAAAGAACATGGGAAGCTGAATCTAAAGGGAGGGTTTGACATCAAGAATGAAACCCCCACGTTCACACTCACCTTGGCAAAAGACTTCTGACTGTCGTATTTCAAGTACTTAGGATAAACGTAAAGGTGATTGGTGTAGATAGTGTAAGGCTGAGTGTGTTTTGGTATGCAGGGCACAAATTCCTCCACTTCAAACGTGATGGGAGTTTTACTGCAGGTTTCAAATTGTTTTGTGGGAATGTATGATGAATTAACATAATCTGAAAAGATATTCAAAATAATTCAAACTGAAGTAAAAACTAAACTAACAAAAATTCTGTCTATTATGTAGAACTGACACTTACTAGGGAAGTCTGAGGAAACGTTATCAATTGTAATGTCTAGATTGCCTAAAATCACTGGGAGCTTAGCCATCTTCTCGGGTCTGCAAACAAAAGAAGAGAAAAATCAAACATTTGTAAGTTAACTCTAAAAGCAACACTCTAGAGCAGCACTTTCAAGAGAAACATAAACCAACCCATAAAGACAATTTTAAACATTCTAGTAGCCTCACGCAAAACGGCAAACAGGAACTAATAACATTAATTTTAATAATATACTTTATTCAACCAAATAGGTCCAAAATATTACCATTTCAGTATTTAATCAGTATAAAAAAGGTGCACTCTAAGTCTTTAAAACCAGATGTGTATTACTGGTTTTATACTTAAAGCACATCTCAATTCAGACGTCCTGTATTTCACAGGACAGCCACACATGGCTAGTGGCTGCGCACTGCACAGTACAGGTCTAGATAAAGAATATCAGCAAAACAGTTATAAATCAAGTGTTCCTGAACCACTCCAGCCTCACCATAAATATTTGGCTCATTTAGAATCATCACCATTTGGGGGAGCTAAGCTATGAGGATGCAAAGGCATCAGAATGATACAATGAACTGTGGCGACTTGGGGAAAAGGGTGGGAGTGGGGTGAGGGATAAAAGACTACAATTGGGTACAGTGTACACTGCTCAAGTGATAGGTGTACCAAAATCACAGAAATCACCACTAAACAACTTATTCATGTAAGGAAACATCACCTGTTCTCCAAAAACCTATTGAAATAAAAAATAAAATAAAAAATACAATCACCACCATTAGGAACTAGAAATCATCTTAGGCTCCAGCATCCAGCAAAATGCTGGGTACAGAGTCAAAGCTCACTGAAATTGTTGTATTAACATTTGTTCGGACTCAATCCAATACAGGAATCCCCTGTGACACTCCTGACAAGTGCTGCTACTGCCTCACCCTTCCTAGTGACAATGAGACTTCTGGCCCAGCCGTTTTGACACTAGTCTGCTCTTCCTCACAGCATGGTGAAATTCACCTCCCTGAAACTTCTACTCACCAAGGGGTCTAGTGATGCTCCTCTGTCTTTCAGTCACCTATACCGCACATTCTGAAGCCCTCTATTCTCACACTTATGTACCTTGCCCCAGTGTCATTCTCTCCCAGAAGAATCTGCCATTTATATTATGGTGCCTGGAACCGCATACATCTGGCCAGTGTGGGTGCACAGCTGGGTGCACAGCCCCTGTCTGGTTTTCTACAATACACCTGTCTACTAACACAGCCCCAAAGCTATTACTTTTAGGTAGCCATACCATTCTAGTGACTCACAGGAAATGTAGTCACCTAAAATCCCTACATCTTTTTTCACATGCTAATTTCTTTGTCTTTTATTTATATAATTATATTTTTGGACCTCAGAAGAGAATTTAATTTTTGTCTTGCCGAAATTTCATCATATTATGTTTGAGTTATTTCTAGTTTATCGAAGTCCTCCTAGATCCAGATTCTAACATCTACTGCATTAGACATTCCTAATAGCTTTATGCCACAAAAATATTTAATCAGCATTTTATAGTCTCATAAAAGTCATTGATAAAGATATTGCACAGAATATTGCCAAGAACAGGCTCCTTCCCAAGTCTCTGGAGGCCCATTTCCAGACTGACACTAGCTCATTAATCACCCTCCCTAGCATCTGGTTTTTCCAGCAGTTGAACAACTGCCCACTCACGTGTGCAGTGCTTCTCTCACTCGTTCACAGGCTACTATGGCACCCACACGTGGTAAAAACATTCTGCTGAAAGCTTTGCACTCCTCTACTACACCAGCCTAGCAGCGCAGTTACAAAGAGAAGAAATGCGGTTAGGATGACTAGTTCAACACAACGTGACTTAGTCCTAGGAAACAGAATGCCGCCTCACCGTCCTTCCTAAGCCACCTGTTTCAGATTTCCTTTAGAACGTTGCCAAGGTTCACCAAAGCACAGGGACTGGCAGATTCAGCATTTGGTTTTGTTTCCATTTTTGACAAGTTCCTACCTCCTATTTTGCAAATTCCTTGGACATGACTGTTGTCTATTAAGCAGCCTCACGCGTCACTCCTCAGTACAACTTGGAATATTTTTCACCTGAATTAGGACTTCCCTAAAATTTCTAAATTCCTGCATCCTTAAGACTAGACACGATGTTGAGAAGATCCATCGTGGCCCATCGCCAGCTCTAAGTTGTTAAATCTCTTTCTCCCAGGGTCCCTCCCTCTCATTTCCACTTGTCTTCTGTTTACACCTGAGTTTAAATGAACAGTTCCTGAAAGAGGTAATGGTCAGGAAGGTAAGTCAATGATTTTTCACACGATCTGCCTTCTGTTGAAAGATTTCTGGCCAAGAGCTCTCCGGGTACAGCCGAGCACTCCCCTGCAGTTTTCCCCTGTGCCTGCGGTATGAGCTGCTTCATACACACAAGATCCTTTTCTCCTGGTGGGAGGAGGGGCAGCAGCCCTCCCTCAAGGGTCAGGTCAGTCATTTCCTGAGAGCTTTCCACTGACTGTCTCCCAAGCTCTGGGCACTCTCCTATGATGATATCTTGTGGGAGCCTCTCTGAGCTTCACACAGAGCTCTTCAGGGGCGTCAACCTTCAGACCAGTGGTTTTATGAAGGTATTGATTTTCTTGACATACGGTGCCTTGCTCACCTCTTCATTGGAGCAATTCAACACTACAACACATCACAAGACCCTGCATTCCCCAAATTTTAGAGACACCTATGAAGTTGTATCTGCTTCGAGTTAGAAATATTCTGTTTATTACAAATTATATTTTAAACGTAAGTAAGTATGCAAGAGTAACGGATTTCACCCCTCCTAATTATTTCCACCTATAAATGAACAGGCATCTTCATCACCAATTTTTTATTTTTATTTTTGAGACGGAATCTGGCTCTGTCACCCAGGCTGGAGTGTAGTGGCCGGATCTCAGCTTACTGCAAGCTCCGCCTCCTGGGTTTACGCCATTCTCCTGCCTCAGTCTCCCGAGTAGCTGGGACTACAGGCGCCCGCCACCTCGCCCAGCTAGTTTTTTTGTATTTTTTTAGTAGAGACGGGGTTTCACCGTGTTAGCCAGGATGGTCTTGATCTCCTGACCTCGTGATCCGCCCGTCTCGGCCTCCCAGAGTGCTGGGATTACAGGCTTGAGCCACCGTGCCCGGCCCATCACCATTTTTAAGATCACTCCAACATCCTCCACATATAAATTTTTGAGAGAGATGGAATACAATTAAAATATGTTTCTAAGCAACATATTTTAATTGAATGATCTTCACTGAAAATCTTCCTATAATGTATACTTCTGTGCCTAACTATAGTTATTTCTTATTCTATTTCCTCCCTCTGCTGAGAGATTTTACTTCTAGTTGCTGCTTCTGTAAAGGCATTCTTTCCATGTGTTTCCAAGCACATTTCTGAGTTTAGTTCCATATTATGTAGCACATGTACTTTTAAAAGTTTTTTTTTTTTTTTTTTTTTTGCCAGCTTTAAGTTTTCAAAAACCCAATCTTAAACCCATTTCAAAAGTTTACGGTTTTTGTTGAATCTGGTTTATTAGACATTAAACACTGACAGGCAGTAAAGATTTTACTGCCTTTTTATGCATTTCCAAAGTGGTGGTGTGTGCATGTTACACAAAGTGAATTATTTCATGACTGAGAATAGTTTTTGGTCTTTTTGCTTTGTTTTGCTAGAGAGTACCTATATTCTTTGCAAAATTTATAAAATAATACTTCAACATGAAAACTCATCTTAAAATTACACGAATTAAATAAGCATGCAATACAGACACTTGCAGGATGCCTGGCCTCTGGGAACTGCTCCTGCCTGTGTGTGAACATAGAAGTGAGGCTCAAACTGTCTCTGAGGAAAATTTTCCCTTCCCACTGCCCATCCATTCCTGCTGACTCAACAATTCCCACAGAGGAAAGGAGAATGGTGTCACCAACTAGCAGTCCTCCCATGCCCGCAGACTTAGGGTCCTTATCTCAGTGTTTCTGCAGCCTGGTCCTCCCTTTCTGACTTCCTGTATTGGCTCATTAAAATGATTAGCTGGCAATACAGGTGTGTTTGGACTGCTGTTGGTGGTGACTTTAATCTTCTAACTGTGTTTTGTGGAAGGAAATATTCCCTAAAAGCTTTGGTGTCACTTAGAAAAAAAAAAAAACAACTATATATGATTGAAAGAAATTTGAGATATTTTTGTTTAAATAAAAATCACTGAATTTATGTCTATGAAGAAAATTCAATAAGCATTTATCAAGTGGTTAGGATATACTGCAATGTATGTACTCAGGACCATGGAGGAATGCAAACAAGATATGATTTCTCTCCTCAAGCCAAAAGTCCAGTCGATACTGTAAGCTACTTACGGCATATGAGGGCAATTACTTTCACAGAGTATGGACGAACCACTACCAGAAGGCAGAGTATCTAGATCTAATGAGAGGGAATAAGGGATGATATCAGTATTCACGGTGGGAGAAATCACCTTAATGCCTTTTGCATTTATTCCCCACCATGGTTTTAGGGGGCAGGGGCCATTATTATCCACCCTTAGAAAGAGGAGGAGGCTCAGGCAGAGAAGCCAAGTAACCGCCTCCAGGTCTCCCAGCATGGAAGTGAGCTACAGACTGGGCTTTGAAAGATGAGTAGAGTTCCCTCAGAGAGACAAAGGAAAAGGGGAGGTGTGTATGCTGTGTGTGTGATTTATGTGCTGCTTGAGGAGGCAAGAAGGGGACACAATTTGGACAGAGAGAAAAGCATGGCAGAGGGAAGTCCACAGTGAGTTTAGAGAAAGCCAAGCAGCCCTACCTGGCTTGAGTGCAGTGTAACCAGAGCAAAATAGGGGTAAAGCTGTAACACTTGGATGCAAAGAAAATGAGTGTACAAATAAACAGAGATACATTAAGTTGCATATGCAAAACCTTAGGAGTATTATTACCTAAACTATCCAACGTAGTACCATTGAAAAGGTCTACATTTTAAAGAAAACATTCTATTTTTATACTTCGCCTTCATGCCTTCACATTTCCTGCAGAAGTTAAAAAAGATAAGATACCATCTTATCCAGGAGATACCACCATAAACAAATCAAATTGAAAATACTAAGTCTCTCTTCTTATAAAATGTCAGCAATATCATCTATCTGACAGAATCGCTTTCTTACTAAATCTTGGAACATATCCCTGGGTAATTATTGCAAGGGAAAAAGAAAAGTGGCTTATGAGCTTTGGCAGCTGTTTTGTAAAGACTGAGACAGTGTGAAGAAATTTTTCTCATGCATTATTAAATAACATTTTGAGATGATCATGGGGGTAGAAACAATAGCTTTGGATCCAAGCTGGTGCCCAGGCCACTGACATGAGATTATTTCCTGTAAAAAATAAAGAGGAAAGAAAAATAGCACTACAAAGTTTTTTTAAAAATGAAAAAGGAATCCTCCACTTCCCCTAACTCTGCTGTGAAGAATGCGGGGAGTGGGCACCAACGTTTCTTTGGATACTTATTGAGGAGAGTGGCCTCACTTACCCCGCTGCGTCTTCTCTGCTGTCAGCATTGGATCCCCGTTTTCAGGTTTCTGGGTCTCTAACTGGCCACCTGGAGCACACTCTTCACACCAATGCCCTCCCACTGAGCACACGCATGAAGAAATGGTGTGCAGAAGAGAAGCCACATTGGTTTTCCCTGTGTTCTTTGCTGCCTGGCCATGGGCTTTCTGCTCCGATCACTTTCAGATTAGTGGCCATGTGAAGCCCCACTCCCCAGCCTCCACCGAAGACAGGACCATGAGCAGGGGCTGCCCCTGAGGAGGGGAAGTGTCAGGCTAACCAGCCTAGGAAGTGACTTCTGAGACAGGGCTGCAACCTCCATCAATATAAAAAACTTCATTCTTTGTTTTGTCTGAATATAAAAGTGTTAGTGTTTTTTTTAAAAAAGTTCATATAAAAATCACAGAATGCTATAAAGTGGAAGATGAAATATCACCCATCAACCCATCCCTCAGAGATAACCATGATTATTTGGCATATATCCTAAATAGCTATTTTTATGCCTATCGTTCCATCTAGACAACTACTTGCTTATCCACTTCTTTCATTGACATACAAAAGAAATATGTGATATTTTCTTTCAAAAAATGTAGTCACACAGATACATTTTTCTTCCTTAATAATGTAGTGTATTCACTTTCCTAAGACCACACAGACCTACCTATTGGTTATTCAGAGTTGCATGGTAGTTGAGTGAAAGAAAATATTGAAATCTATCCAACTAAAGGTGACTGGGTTTTGAAAACATTAGTAAGAATGAAATTTTCTTGAAACTCAAAAAATGACAATAATTACTATATGATAATATAGTATGTATGATAATCTATTACCCACTACCAATAGAGAAGATTTTTTAAAGATTCTAACTGTGGCTTATAGCCATAATTCTGAAAAATCAGAAACACATTAAAAGTCAAAAAATGGCCAGGTGTGGTGGCTCACACCTGTAATCCTAGCACTTTGGGAGGCTGAGGCAGGCGGATTGCCTGAAGTCAGGAGTTTGAGACCAGCCTGGGCAACATGGTGAAACCCCATCTCTACTAAAATACAAAAAAAAAAAAAATTAGCCGGGTGTAGTAGGGGGTGCTTGCAGTCCCAGCTACTTAGGAGGCTGAGGCAGGAGAATTGCTTGAACCCAGGAGGCAGAGGTTGCAGTGAGCCAAGATGGTGCCATTGCCATCCAGCCTGGCGACAGAGCAAGACTCCATCTCGGAAAAAAAAAAAAAGTCAAAAAATGGGGGAAGAGTTAAACAATCTGTGATCTATCTCAATGGACTATTATAATACTTATGCATTAAAAATGATGTCTATAAAAATGTGTATATCACATTTTCAGAAAATACTTGAGTTATGCAGGGAAATATCACATATTTGGTATGATCATAGCTACATAAGATAAACTAAAATAAAATGTAAATAAATAAAATGTAAAAAAAATATTCCCAACCGGGCACGGTGGCTCATGCCTGTAATCTCAGCACTTTGGGAAGCCCAGGCGGGTGCATCACCTGAGGTTGGGAGTTCAAGACCAGCCTGACCAACATGGAGAAACCCCATCTCTACTAAAAATACAAAATTAGCTGGGTGTGGTGGCACATACCTATAATCCCAGCTACTAGGGAGGCAGGAGAATTGCTTGAACCTGGGAGGCGGAGGTTGCGGCGAGCCGAGATCAGGCCATTGCACTCCAGCCTGGGCAACAAGAGTGAAACTCCGTCTCAAAAAAAAAAAAAAAAAAAACTGTTCCCCCCTAGGCTGGGGGCAGTGGTTCACGCTTGTAATCCCAGCACTTTGGGAGGCCAAGGTGGGCAGATCACAAGGTCAGCAGTTCGAGACCAGCCTGGCCAATATGGTGAAACCCTGTCACTACTAAAAATACAAAAATTAGCCAGGCATGGTGGTGGGCGTCTGCAGTCCCAGCTACTTGGGAGGCTGAAGCAGGAGTGAGCCAAAATCGCGCTACTGCACTCCAGCCTGAGGGACAGAACGAGACTCCATCTCAAAAAAAAAAAACAAAAAAAAATGTTCCCCAAAAGTTCATCATGAAGGGTAAAACTAGTAGTAAACCTTTTTTCATCCTTTTATTCTGTTTTTCTCAAAATTTCTAAAATGAACATGTATTATGTTTGTAAATTAAAGACCCTCTATGATTTAAAAGTAAAAATAAGGTACTATTCTTTCATTTAGTCTTTCATGAATAACAGATTCATAGAGATCCAGGGGGCACTCCCTGGCCAAGACCTGTGTCCTTACCAGGTCATAAAACTGTCACATAGTGACTGGGAATTTGGGGCACCTGTACAGTTCAGGAACCCTGGAAGGCTAACCCAGCAGGCCTCATCCTTCACCAGCATCCTCTTCTCCCCGTTCTCCAATTCCCTACATGAACTGGGAAAGGTTCATTCCAAATCAGCCCAGTGGGTATGCACTCTGCTTTGCTGAACAGGCTAACATCTGTCCAGGTAAGATTAGCTTGATGCTAGCAAAACTGAGGTTGCACTTCTCATTAAAGCTCCAAAAAGGGGAAACATCAAGACAGTCAAAAACTGTATCATCACATAACTGAAAGAGACCTTGAGAATCCTTTCTACCTTTTTGAGCCTCTTGACAAGGGATTTCACATCGCTGTGAAGGCTGAAGTCACCTGCTGACATGGACGTGATTGGATTCTGATTAGGAATAAATCGCTATGTTTTTAGAACTTATTGAGCCTGTTTCTATGACTCATATCTTTTCTATTCCTACTACTGAAGAGAGATAAGAAAATGGTAAAATGAGGTTAAAGAAAGCTAAACCACCATTCTTGAATTCTAGACAAACTGATAAGATTGTTATTTTGATATGCACAAAAAACAAACAAAACAAGGATATCTTTGGCATAGAATAGTTAGCATTTGGCTCTCAGCTATTCTTTTCATTTCACATCTTCTAGTGCCCTCAGCTCTTTCACATTCCCAGAATTTCCCCAGAAAAGTTCTAAGACCTATCTCCCTAGCAAAGAAAATCAGCTTCAAAGGCTCAGAAGTGAACTCTTTAGGATGTAGCAGCAAAACAGCACAGAGATTAAGGGCACAGACCCTCGGGCAAGACTGACTTGGGGAAGCTGCCAGCCCTGTGATGTTACACACATTCCTTGCTCCCTCTTATGGGTTGAATCGTGTCCTCCAAAAGCATGGTGAAGTCCTAACTCTTTGTACCTATAAACGGAACCTATTTGGAAACAGGGTCTCTGCCGACGCAATCAGTTAAGATGAGGTCACTAGGCTTGGCCCTGATCCTTTATCACTAGTGTTCTAAGACGGGAATTTGGACAGAGACACACAGGAAGAGGACCATGTGAGGCCACAGGCAGAGTGGAGCAATGCCGCCATAAGCTAAGCAGCAACTGGTGCGAGAAACTTTCAAGTTAGATACCTTGCAAGTTATTTATCTTAGACTATTACCACCCCAACACCCAACCAGGAAGCCAAGACCCAATCATCGTATCTCTTTGACACGATTTGAATTTGTCCCCTTCTTCCTGTTTGCACTTGCAGTGGCTTTGCTGAGTCCTTTCTCACCTCTTGACAAGGTTCCTCAACTGTTTCGTTACCCCCTAGGCTCAATCCTACCCAACCCACCCTTCACAGCACCGCCCAAAACATCCTCTACAGAATTCAAATTAACCAGTTATTCTTCTGATTTTCATTCCATCTTTCTTCTTAAGGGTTTGACGAAATGCTCCACGCTCATTTGCCATCCCGTCTGATGTCTAAATCCAGCAACGTAAATGACTGCTCCCCTGTTCCTCCCTCCTCACTACACAGCTTCTATCTTTCAGGTGTGGAAATAAGACCTTGAAACTCACTTCCGAAAGTCTGCAAGTAACTTGAGCATGTCATCATTGGATAGCTTATTGCTGTCTTGCCTGTAGATGGCAGAAAATCTGGCATTTTTGTCAAGATTTCCAGATGCATCCTTAAACAATGTCCTGAAATGGCAAAGCAACATTTCTAAACTGGGTTTCCAAAACACCAAAATCAATTCATTATTTAAATCTGGTTTCTATGAGAAGTCTAATTACTATTCCATTGGCTATAGCCAACAGAAATCTCATTATCTAAAAACATAGAAAACATTTACGGGGATGAGGACAACTAAATCAATTTACATAGAAAACAGTTCCAGTCAATGGCTTGTGCTTAGGAAACAACATACGCAAGTCAAATGCTTAACAAGTAGAGTCAAGAGATAAAGATCACCCCAGGCCACACTGGACTGCCCTGACTTCCAGCTGGAGGCACATGGTTGGGTCCTAGAATCCCAGCTCTGCAGCTAACACTCCCATGCACCCTGCCACCTCCAGGTAGCACCTCTCCAGACAGTGTCTTTCCTCTCTGTGACTCTACTAAATGATTTTTTCAAAATTTGGGCTTACGTATTTCTCAATTTTACACACTCAAATCCTCTTTGTCTCTGAAGAACAAACAGAATAGGCCGATTGACCCATCCATGCATCTATCTATATCTATTTAAAAGGTATACAAGGTGTTCCTTACCTTGCTGCCCAAGCAAATGGCATTCTATACTGTCCTAGTCTTTGGCATGCCTGCTTGGCATTCTTCAGCACCTTCTGAGCCACCTTGAAGACATGAGAATAAAGCTATGAGATACTGTATCTCACTGAAAGAACTGTGACCTAAATAGCCATCCTTACACACTCACTAAATAAGTCCTTACCGTAACATCAGATGCATAGAAAAGCAAATCATACAGTAATGAATATGGCTGCACTCACACTCTGTGCAGAGTAGTTTATTTAAGCCATTCTCTGGCAGTGATTCTCAAAGAATACAGAATGAAGACTTTCCAAAATCCATGTCTCTTCTTTGGTCTTTACAGGCAACAAACACACTGTTTCAGAGGTTTTCATACATCTTTACGACTAAATACTACTTATTATAAGTCTACTGAGTTATTAATAATTACTATTTGGTATCCATACCAAAATATATCACATTATTAGGATTTAAATGAGAACATTAATTAAAATACTAAGCTTTCACAGCTCCTAATGTGCACTAGCTTATGCTGATTTCCACAATATAAGGGGTAAGATATTAAGATACTGACTTCAGTTAGGCCGGGGCTCTCAATGCTATACTCTTGCTTTCTAAATATGAATTACTGCTATTTTTACTTTCTAATAATTAATTTTGGTTTGCTGTAGATCGACTGATTAATTCAGAGTGTACAATAAAGCTTATTTGCTTTTAGCCTAAGGCAGGCCTATTATTAATCATCTATACCCCTATTGCTAAAAACGATAATGCTTAATTTTTCCAAATTAGTCTGTACTATGATAGTGCTTTGTCATCAGTGTAAAGTTTGATTGTCTCAGAGTCACAGTGAAGGGTCTTTTACATTACTTAATTTTTTATTTTTATTTTTTTTTACTGAAGGGTCTTTTACATAAGTATATCAAAGTCAACCGATTTTGGGAAATGTGCTCCAAAGCCAAAGTATGCTACAGCATCAGCATCACTGTAGAAACGCAGAGTCTCAGGCCTTGCCCCAACCCTCCTGGATAAGAACGTGCCTTCTGACAAGACCTCTGGTGATCTGTGTGCACCATCAGCCACAGGAAGGATCTAGAAGGATCCAGAAGGATCTAGACGACAAAGCTGTCTGTCTCTAAGTCACACTGAATCCAGCTGTCTGACTCTGCAGGTCATCAAATCTCTCCGGGCTCCACTATCCACACCTGAAAATGGGGGCTATACTTTTCATGACCCCTGCCAGTTGCGAAACTTTATAATCCTACCATGATCATGCTGTAGGAACTGCTGCCTTCATGAGTAACCTGGAAAATAAATCCTAATTGGAAGAGACGTCAGGGATTCATCTGGGACCTCCCCCATTCTCCAGTGAGGTATGTTCTTGCCTCCTTGGATGGGGCGACTTAGTGGGGTCTTAGGTTTATCAGTCTTAGGGTACAATGATCTGCCTAGCTGCAGGGTCAATTTACTCAAACATTCTCAGGTTCAAGATTTTTTGGTCCTAACAACGATGAATATGTTGTGGAGTAAAATGCAGTAATTTCATAAAATTTAAGGCTAAAACATAAGACATCAATAAGCCTTTTCTGCAATGAATGAGGACTTAGCTCTCAGATATATGAAGGGTGCAAATAGAACACAGTATGTGTGAAAGTCAGAGTAAGAAACCTATTTTTGCCCTTTGGGCCTTTTCCCCCTTCTCTTTATTTTTAAAACATCTATTCACAGGAGATACCTACAGAGACTTTTCATAAAAATTTCCTCCAAAATGAAAATTTACTCTAAATGATGTTCTAGACCATCTTGGAAAACATGAAGAAACAACTTTGACAGACTGAAAAAAATCATCTCACTGTAACATTTCTGCCAAAACTGTGCTAAAGGAAGATGGTTGAGCCTTAATTCCTGCTTTAATTGAATGTTTTGGAGGTGGCAGGAAAGTAAATGCATGAATAATGTACACATGGATGAGCTTTACATTCCATAAATAATGAAGAAAAAGCAGACTTCAGCAGATGCTCAGTGGACATGGAGGAGTGTGCAGAGGTAAGTTTAGCCTACAGTGATATGTGATTTTTACACCAACATGAGCTGCCAAATTTCAAACCATGCATGCAGCAGGCAGAAGTAACAAAGTTGGTGTGGATGGGCCTTGGAAATGTGTTGCATACACAGTCGGGGGAGGAGATCTTATCTCGGGCCTTCATTGATTATTAATCAAAACATAAAAGAGCTAAAAGAGCTTCTTGTCCAAGGTTTTACAGACTTGATTTAAAAAAATAAAACAGCTTCTCTCCAGAGACCAAACTTTACACAGCTTTCATCAGCCAAAAACGCTTACTGTTGGAAACAATGTGCCTGGGTAAATGGGCTTTTACTTGACTGGGGCTGTAATAAATGACGACGTCTTCTGGGCTTTCTGTGATTTATGGTGCCCACAGCACTGACTCATACATGATCTGTTTGCTCCTAACACTGTCCCTATGAGGAAGGCAGAGGCAGGAAGTAACATCATCCTTCATGCACAGAAGGAACATCTGGAGGCCAGAGAGGTGATGTGATTTGTCCAAAGGACCCAGGTGAGTTAGGTATACAGCACCCAGGTTTCTGACCCCGAAACCCATTTCTCAATGGCCATCCTGCATCCTGTGGACACAGCTATGATGCATGAGTGCCCACAGAGGTGATGAAAAGAAACTCTGAATCCAACTTAGTAAACTTCACTCACAGCCTCTGGGGTATGTGGACCAGTCCTTGTCAGTGAATTCAGGCCTCTCAGATGACCACATAAATTAAAAAAAAAAAAAAAAAAAAAAAAGAACTAAAAATACATAAAACTGGCAAGGATAATAGCACTCAACAGATTACACTAACCAGGTAGCACAAGGTGCTACGAAGTGGCAGTCAAGTGCCCTCTGGCAGCTCCAGCTGTGAGACACTGAGCAGGTCACTAAGCCTTGGTGAGCCTCAGTGTCCTGAAATACGAAAGCACATCTTTTACTAGATGACCTCTAATATTTAATAATGCTATGGTATGTCCATGCCTAGGCACTTCCCGAGTAATGAACACTGCTTTGAAAAAAACCAAACATACATCATGTATGTTTTCTTTCCATCTTCCACCTAAAACTCTGCCCCCTCTAGCGAAAACCAAGTGGACCTGAATCACTGACACTACCGGCCAGGCCATCTGAGCCAAAGGCATTTCCTGGTCTCCAGCCTCATATATAGTGTAAGTGGACCAAAATATAATTTCAGGACCCAACAGGCACATTAACAAATATAAGGAACTTTATTTGAATGTCATACATGTATTTTCTAACAGAGAAAGTTTACTATTAAGCTGGTAATTCCTTTGCAAATTATTTTACGAGGTCAGAATTGTCTAGTCAAGTGGAGCACTTTATTTACACATAGGACTACATTTCTTTCACAATAACGACATAAAGTTCAGAGTAAATACATGCAGCATATTCTACGTCTTTTAGAGCGTAAATATGGCTTATGTTGTATTTCATTAAGCATTTATAGTTTCACATAAATGCCTCTGTTCAGATTGCTTTTTACTACCACAAAGTTTAAAAGCCATTCATACCTTAGAAGAGTCTGAACTTTTCATATATGGCTCAGCGCAATGTGTGATGCTCCCCTGAAGGACTTTTTCAATTCTGGCCACAAGAAATATATCTGGATGAGGACAAGTGACTGAAAATATTCCCTAGGAGACAAAGAATTTTCTTCAGGCAGCAGAATTCACAGCTGCGTTAAACAAATCCCATGAACATTAAACAGCAAAGAACAGTGAAACAGGACAACTAGTAAAAAGCACCCAGTGTCAAACTAGTTAGCTGACAAATAGTTCATCACCTGCTCAAAAAGTCTATTTGGTGAGGGAGGTAACTAGAACATTTAGAAAGAAAAAATGAAATTAAAAGCCACTTATTTCTCAGCTTGCTTTTACTGTCTAATAATAAATACTATTAATTAAGAGTCTAATGACCTCACTTCTGCGTTACAAGGTCTAATTTGAGCATTTTTGGTGCATTTACATAGCATGCAAGGTGAGTCTGAGTAGTAGGAATGCTGGGCTCATATTCCCCACCTGCTTCGGATACTGCATGGCAGCTTCATGAAGGATGCCCTTGAGGACAGATGGGCTCTGCCCGCTGCCATTCATCAGCGCCGGGGACGTGGTGGCCAGCATTTGCCTCACTGAGAAATGGTTCAGGTCTACGTGGAAATCGGCAGAAATCTTTCGGTTGTATTTTATGTCAAACAGGGATAGAGTAACAAAGAAAGGTTCAACCTGAACAAAACAAAACAATCCAACGATCACTATGACTCAAACAGGGACAAAAGAATGTTGCTATCAAAAGAGAAATGACAAGACCTATTTAGGACTGTTGCCATAAATTACTACTAAAGATAAACAGTCTCATCCTTTAGAATACAGATAATTAGGTTATAAAACATTTTAGGAAACAAACAAAACAATTATTTTAGCTTTATGTGTTTTGTTACATAATGTCCGCTCCATAGAAAACACAGTTGCATTCCCCGAAGCATCTAAGATGAACTCTGTCTCCTACAAAGCTGAGCACACACCTACCACCCTCATCTTTCAACACGAACATCCTGTCCTTGCAGGCTAAACAACCTCCACATCCTGATTCAAACACTGCACCTCTTTGATACCAGGGACTAGGATTTCTTATCCAAGCTGCACTGTAAAGGCACATCTGAAACTTCTGCCTCTATTTTTTAATCTTTATTTTTAAAAAGAAAAATTACATTTGTAGTGGGTCCTTCTTCATTTTCGGCAACGCAGCATTGCAAATTGAAAGATAAATCATTGCACTTGACAAGGATCCTTTTTCCAAACTTCTCTTCAAATGGCTTAACTTCTGGCTCAGCTGATGAGAAATCAAGCTTCTTTAAAAGAAAATGTAAACATATAAATAAGTTATGCTCTTATTTTAAAAAATCATCATAAATGCATCCAAAGAAAACAGAATAAAATATGGAAAAGCTATATACACTTATTTACTCACAATAGTATTGCTATTATACAATCAGTTTCTATGGTTTAGAGTAGTTACACACATAGTTGATAATAATGGTCAAAGACATGGGCGGGGTATCGTGGCTCACGCCTGTAATCCCAGCATTTTGGGAGGCCGAGGCTGGTGGATCACAAGGTCAGGAGATCAAGACCATCCTGTCTTAACACAGTGAGACCCCGTCTCTACTAAAAATATAAAAAAATTAGCCAGGTGTGGTAGCGGGCACCTGTGGTCCCAGCTACTTGGGAGGCCGAGGCAGGAGAATGGCGTGAACCTGGGAGGCGGAGCTTGCAGTGAGCCAAGATTGCGCCACTGCACTCCAGCCGGGGCGACAGAGCAAGACTCCGTCTCAAAAAAAAAAAAAGACATGATGGTATGCCTACTCAATGGGTGAACTGAAAAAATACAGAGCTTGAAAATTATGATTATGAACAACATAACCAATGTCCATCCAGTATCCAACCAAGTGTCCATCAACAGATGTATAAGGATACATAAAATGTAGTATATATATACAATGGAATATTCAGCCACAGAAAGGAAGGAAATTCTGACACATGCTGCAACGTGGATTGACCTTGAAAACATTAAGTTTAAGCCAGAAACAAAGGACAAATACTATATGATTCCATATTTATGAGGTTCCTAAAATAGGCAAGTTCACAGAGTAGAACAGAGGTTACCAGGGGATGGGGGAAGAAGGAAAGGAAGGTTATTATTTGGTACAAAGTTTCTGTGTGGGAAAATGAAGAAGTTCTGGAAAAGGATGGTGTTAATGGTTGTACAATAATGAGAATGTATTTAATGCCACTGAACTGTACACTTAAAAATGGTTAAAATGGTAAATTTTATATTATATATATTTTTACCATGATAAACAAAAACTTCTTAAAAGCAGATAAAAATTATAGACATATAAACACACATACATATGATTATGAGGTCTGTGAGGAAACAGAGAAGTACTTATCATTGAAGTTAAATGGAAAAGGTTTGTATTTGAGCCTGAGCCTGGGCTGCTCGGGAATTATCATTGACTCCCAGGCACCTGCAGTGATACCTGTTATTTTCTGATGGCTATTTTAACAGATAAATTAGATGTTCTTTGTGAACTTGAGAATGTCTTTCAATAAATCTCTCCCAATTTTCAAACATCTATTAAATATCAAATACAATAGTAATGCTATGGTGATGAGATTACACATTTTTATTTTTCCTCTTTTCCCCGAATTTTCTATAGTTATTTTGCTTGCTGTTCCAAAATAAACAAAGCAAACAAATAAACAAATAAGCCCATCGATGATTTTCTCTCCCACACTTGGTTTTAAATATTAAACATTTAGATAGTTCTTACCTGGGCATCTGGGTCCAGATAAAAAAGTTTGACTCTGCTTTCACTTTTCAGTTTGATTTCTGCTTCTCTGGCACTCTGATAACAAGATAAATAAAAATTACATTTAACAAAATCCTTTCCTTGCAAAGGTGCCCAAATACAGTTAAAAGCTGCCTCGTCCTGAAGGCTGAGGCTGCTGGAAAGCTCTGCCTCGCGCTGGAGAAGCTGCTGTGTGTGCCAGGGAATGTGCAGCACACAAAGTAAGCACCAGGAGGAGAAAGAAGTGACGATGAGATTCCTGCCCTTCTGAAGCTCACAATCAGTGGTAGAGCCAAAGTCAACACAAAGAAAGCAAAAGAGAATAATTAAGCATCTGTGTGTCAGGAAAGTCTTCATAAAGTAATGGAATATGGGATAGACTTGGAATGAAGGGGCGGAATCGAGCTGAACATTCCTGGCTGAATGAAAAGGATGCACAGACACTGAAGATGGAAATGAGCCCAGATGCTAGGAAGGATTTAACAGAGTCCAGTCTATGACTGGGTGCAAGAAGGGGAAGAGGAAGGAAAATATTTTGAATGATGAGATAGAGAAAATGATGGCTGATCTTGCAGGACAAGATGCTGATTAATTCAATAAATATTCATTAAGCACCTCTTATGAGCCAGGCCCTAGAGACATGTGAAATGTGAATGAAGGAAGTCCCTAGCCCCAAGGAACACCAGGTGGGGAGACAGCATATCAACAGGTAATAAGAGGACACAAGAAAGTTTAAGGTAACAGTGGAAATCAACTTGGACTGGGGGGTGGTAGTCAGAGACCACCTCCCAAGGGAAGGCCCATCTGGAAGGACAAGAACACTTGGCCATGAAAGGAGAAAAGCACATTCTAGGAGAAGGCACAGCAGGTGGAAAGGGACAAGTCACACCTGAGCAATCACCAAGTCACTCACCATAACCGAAAGGCAGGGCATGATTAAAAAAAAAAAAAAAAAAAAGTTAAGAGAAATGAGTCTGGGATTTGCCTGCTAAGGATTGGGGACTTCCCCCTTGTTTAGCATATCATCAAGAAATAACCATAAAAATGGGCAACCAGTAGCCCTCAGGGCTGCTTTGCCAATGGCATAGCCATTCTTTATTCCTTTACTTTCTTAATAAACTTGCTTTCACTTAAAAAAAAAAGACTGGGGATTTCATTCAGAATCTAAAATATCCTGCAACATTTTAGGTAGGAGAATAAAACGAGCTCCACATTTCAGAAGCATCAATTGGGTAGAGCTGAGGCAACGGGTTAAAAAGGGTAAGACCCAGAGGCCCACAATGTCTTTCTTGGGTTATCACACCAGTCTCCCCATCTCACAGCAGGGCCGATTAACAAATCCCACATTGCTAGCTTGGGCAGCCTGATGAATGGTGAATCCATAAACAAGACAGAAAACTCAGGAAAAACAAATCTGCCAAAAAGATGGTAATATCCTTATCATCTTTGTGTAGAGATGCCTGGGTAGAGATGCCTGTGGAATTTCCAACTGGAAACATCCAATAGACAGCTAGAGGGATGAAACTTGAGCACAAGGCCAAGAGGAAGGCTGGAGTTCCAGACTTGGGAGTGGACAAGATGTCCTGAGGAAGAGGGTGGAAGTGGGTCTGAAGACAAAATCCTGGGGGCCCAACATTGAAGAGGTGGACAGAAGAGAAGCCACAGAAGAAAACAGACAGACGGAGGCAGAGATGGGGGCTGGAGATGTGGTATTTGGGAACAGAAAGAGAGAGAGGCTTTTCAGACATTCACGAGATAGAAATCATCTCCATCTTTATGATTTTTCATGCCTGGTGCCTCTAAGTCTATATTCTGTTCTTCTTGTCTGTCAGAGCTCTTCATGACTCTCAGTCTCCACAGCTAAGTCTATGGAGTCAGAATAGAACGCACTCTCTCATCTGCTACTTTCCCCAGAGACATGTGTCACATCTCAGCACTCCGTGGGGCACTCACAGCCACAGCAGAAAAGGTGTCTTGTCTCTTCTGTTGGTGGCAGAGCAAACTCTATTATTATATTTCCAATCAAGGATAATGAGAAAACAAGCATCTGAATCTTCTTAGCCATGCGATTGTTGTATACAAAGGTCTTTAGTAATGATCCAAACTATCATGATCAGCTGTCTATGTTTAAATAAAATGGGCACCAGAATACTAGGAAACTGGGTTCTGGTTCTAGTTCAGTTAAGCAGCTGTGCAAGCTACGCAGCCTCTCTGGGTTCCATTTTAATTTCTGTGTAAACATGTTAAACAAGATGATGGCTCAAGTCTCTTGCCACACCAAGTTTATCTTGATGCTATCAGTGGGAGCCTGAAGGCTATGGAGGTGAAGGGGCATTACTGCAATCTTCTGTTTATGCTTCCAGGGCAAAACACTTGCCTGTGGTGGAGGCAGGTGCTCTCCATATGGGAGATGGGACCACTTCATTTTAGTCTATCCTGCCTGTCACCTTTCCTAATTTTTTACACCAAAAGAGCAAGCACATGTGCAAGTGGAATCTCCTTAACTGAACCCAAAGAATTTGCTTTACATTGTATACTGCCTGTGGTGTTTCCTAACAAAACCGTCAGTACTAGGTGCTGCAAGCCACCACCAACAGTTATCTATTCTACTTCTGAATCGTCCGCTTGAGCCCTTCAACAAAGGCAAATACTGTGTTATGTTCTCAGACGCGAGAGCAGAGGAGTGGGTTCTTAATGTAGATGCAATTCCTGATGCCTTTCTGAAAGATGCTTGTTGTCTCAAGTTGACTGTGCTAGAAGATAAGAAATGAATAAAGCAAGAACAACTGCTAATGAGCTCCATATAATTAAAGAGCAAATAAGAATGCAGACATAATAAAAGAAAAACAATTAACCACCAGCCAAAATAGACACAAAGCATTCTGATTTTGTCACTAACACCCAACAGATATATTCTTTACCACAGACATCATTTATTGGAAAAGAAGGGACAGCTTTAGATGTAAAAATAACTTAAAGGTTTGTAATCTACCTAATATATATCAATTGCTCTGCTATGAGATACATAAAAAGCAAATTTGGCTTCTTAAAGTTCCTCCTATCCCTCCTAAGGTCTAGGATGATGCATTAAACAGGGAGGATGCCCAACAGTGGCTGAAGGAATTACCAAATACAATCTAAGAGGTAGAAAAATGTGGTTCAGGGAGAGCAGGACTTTGCCCCAGAGTCAGGAAACAGTATCTGGAAGAATAGTAATGATAAGAGCTACTATTGATAACAGCCAATAACTACCTGCCAGATATACCCTAAGTGCCCATTTTAATTTTATACAACCTTAGGAGGCAGGTACTATTATTACCCCTGCTCATTAAAAGAGAAGACACTAAGGCATGAGTGTTAGGTACTTCGCCCAAAGACCTACATGATGAAATAGAGGCCTGGTTTCTAACTCAGTTTGCCTGGCTTCAGAGTCTATTACACTACACAAGAAAGAAGAAAAAAAGGTAAAGAATGTGAACAGGCGAGTCAGGAGGAAAAAACACAAGTGGCAAATAAATGTATGAAAATATGAAAAATATCACTAATAACCAGCAAAATGTAAATGAAAGCACAGTAAAATACCATTTTATACTCATCTGGTGAAGATGCAGAGAAACAGAAATGTGAATTGTTACAGCTTTTTGGGACAGTAACTTGGCAATGTTTAAAGCATTAAAAACACAATAAACTTTGACTTAAACTGAAAAAACCCTAAACGTTCATTAATAGGGAGATGGCTGAATGAAGTATACAGTAGCAACAGTGGAAATATCATGCAGCTTGCTGATATGCATGTAAGAGGGAACCAGATCTTCTACTGGTCCAGAGGGACATCTATGAAATATTTTTAAGTGATTCAGTAAATTTCAGAATAATGTATATATTGTGAACATATTTTTATAAAAAAACTTAAAAACCTTACATATGTTTCTCTATATTTCTATGAGCAATCAGTTTGGTGAAAGGGGAATTGCAACTGGTTATTAACGTCAGTGTTCTCAGGAATGTGGGAATGGAGGATGAAGGGAAAAGGTGAACTTTTCTTTAAACAACTTTGAGTATTTTTACTTACTGTGACAAGCATACTTATTTTTAATTAAAATTTTAGTAAAGATAATAAAATAAATACTTGTAATATGTACTCTCACAATCTAAGAGTGGACAAAATACAGCTATAACAAATATCATCCCAAAGACTGCAGTTGAGCACTTCTCAGAATGATGGAAACGAGCTCTGCTTTTAAAATAAACTATGGTCAGTCTATATTGTGATGGTAGGAAGAGCCAACTGGCTTTTCCCCAGACACCCTGTTGCCACTTTCCTGCCCAAAGCCCACTGACTACTCTGGGTTTCATGGAGAAGAGAATGAGAGGAAAATGGAAACAGAGAAAGCACAATGGCAGAGCTGTTCTCTGTAGAAACTGGTGTCTGCTGAGAAGATAAGGAAGAGAATGATTCATCTAAACCAAGGGCGATACCCCCACCCCACCCCATCCTGTAAACCCTACATTCAAGCACTAATGACACACCCTGACAAGGTTTTCTTCTTTGTCTTAAGAAGTAGTTATGGACCAAACATTCAAGAGTTTCCAGAAAGTCTGCTGTAGGCTTTAGGCATATTGTGTGTCTTAAATTTATTTGCGAGTAGATAAAACAATTTAGAGACAAAGACTACAGTCAACAGCATCTTATTCTGAGGATGAATTACCAGAAACATTGTACTGACTGTTGGGTCATTTAAGCAGAATGGGTTGGAACAGGAGGACTTTGCAAAACGTTTTGAGGCCAAAATACATACTCTTTAATTTAAAGAGTTATCATGATCTATTTCCACTACTTCCAAGACACCTAACTTCTCAGGACCATCAGCTCATCCTCTTCACAAAGGAGGCCTAGAAATGCAAAGCCAGCTGACCCCACAGACACAAGCCTAGCCAGCTTGTTTGTATCATAGTGCAATGATATTGTTTTCTGGATTGGAATCTAGGGAAGAAAGCACTTATTACAGACTTGGTTTAAAAATTCAGAAAAAGTGTCTGTGAAAGCGCTGGGTTCTGACAAGTTCTGCTGAGCATGGCCCTTGATCCTCACTCCATCTCTATGAGACTAGAAAGTCTGAGACATCATACTTTCCCCTGCACGCAACTGTGGAAGATTTACCTGGAACAATAAGTTCATTTGCTTAAAACAAAGTTGAAAGGTAAAAGGGTGTAATTCTGGATTCAGATGAAATTCTACTTCTCTTTCAGAAACAAATGGGGAAACCAAAGTAAAAGTTGGATGCTATTCTTTGAGTACAAAAATAAAAGCTCACAAACAGAAAAGCTGTGGAAGAAAACATAAGGTGGGTTTTCTTCACACTATCTTAAGGAGGTGACATATATGTTCTGATGTCACCTAAGATATAAATGTAACCCAAGAAATACATTATTAAATAACTAGTAACGAAGTTTATAACCTGATTATGTTACTCCTTGACTTTCTAGGGAAGAAATCAATTAACTAACTTGAATTATGGTTTGTGTATCTAACTAAAATATTTAGAAGACTGAGGCTATACACTGTTATATTTATAATAAAAAATTGTTTGGCTCCATAGTAGACAATAGGAGGAAAAGAACCAGTTTTAGGGTAAATACAGTGTGTTCTCTAATAAGAAAACAATAAAGATGTTCAGTACTAAATGTACAAACATAAGTTCCAAGATTATACAAAATATTCTGAAAACCTAGGTTTACATCACTCATACTGTAAGTAATGAGCCCTTCCATAATATTCCAGAATGAGACAACAGTTATTTTTGCACTGAAACAACTTCCTGTCGGTCATATCCTGTTTGGCTATGTCTTAGTCACAGTGGAAAACAAAAGCCGGGGCAACAGGATGAAGGAGGTTAGAGGAGCTGATTAGACAAGGAACCTGCCATTAAATTACACCTTCAGCCACCTTCTGCCTACCCCCATTGTTCTAGGCCTTTCTCTGCAATCTGACTGAATTGTGGCCCAGCCACCCAGCCTGACCCTTTCTTGCACCTTCCTTCCCTGATACTGACCTCTTTACCTCTTCATCCCCTAAGGAAACACCTTACACAGTTCTCTCTCTCCACCCCTCCCCCTGTACACTTCAGCCTCTGATTCTGTAACCATGGAATCCATTCCTCCTAAAAATGGAATGACCAACAGTTACCAGATCAACTTCTTTGCCTTCTCAACCAGTGCAAATAATCCAGACACCCTGACGGGGGATGATAAACAGCCAAAATTGCATTCTTGCTCAGGGCTGGGGACAGGAAACACAGGTCTCCCCTTAGTGCCTGGGCTGCTCACACTGACACCACTGAGCTGGGTTTTAAAAGGCAAAGCCCACAGATACCTATGTGCTGAGTGAATAACTCATCTCCATTTTCTTCATTCTTTTCCTCTTCAAAAAATTACTTTCCACCTTTTCTACCTTTTTCTGCCTTCCTATATAAAATTATTTTTAAAACACCTCAAAGCGAGGGGGAAAGAAAAAAACAGTAAAGTCCCTAACAAGGATGCATTTTTTTAGGTTTTGACCATGATTCCTAGTGAGAAATGTTTTAAATCCCCAACACAAAGATAAATGTTTGAGGTGATGGCTATCCCGATTATCCTGGTTTGACCATCACACATTGTACACAGATATCAAAACATCACACGAACCCCCAAAATAGGTACGTTATATACCAATGAAAGGAAATAAATATACATAATAGCACACTAAGAAAAACAAATATCTTTTATATCACTATGCAAGACACACACACACAATATATATATAAATAGTACACAGCCCTTAATATATTATTTTATATAAAAAATGTTATTAAGGGCAGATATTATTTTATATAAAAAATAATGTTATTATTAAGGGCAGTGTACTTTCATATTCTCCATTCAATTCTATCACATTAAAAATAAACAAATAAATTTTTTTTTTTTTTTTTTTGGAGACACAGTCTTGCTCTGTCACCCAGACTAGAGTGCAGTGGCATGATCTCAGCTCACTGCAACCCCTGCCTCCCGCGTTCAAGTGACTCTCCTACCTCAGCCTCCCAAGTAGCTGGTATTACAGGCACCACACCTGGCTAATTTTTGTATTTTTAGTAGAGACAGGGTTTCCCCATGTTGGCCAGGCTGGTCTTGAACTCCTAACCTCAAATGATCCACCCACCTCAGCCTCCCAAAATGCTGGGATTACAGGCATGAGCCACTATGCCCGACCTAAAAAAACTTTTTAAAGTGAGTCACATAATGTTTAGCTAAATAAGCCTGACACAAAGCGTACATGTATGAGTCCATTCACAGAAAGGTCTAGAAAAGTCAAAACTAATCTACAGTGATGGAGGTCAAAATAATGAGGGTCTCAGGTCCAAGCTAGCCTGAGGGCTGCTTACATCAGTGTACAAATGTGAACTCCAGTGAGCTCTACAATTCATGCTTGAGCATTCTGCTATTATAAATTACACCTCAATAAAAAGAATAAAAAACTAGACAGAAACAAAAAGAAGCAGGGGTTGAAATCAAACTGATTTCGCCAACTAAAATGGCTTAAGCTAACTTGTAACCCATGGTTTAAAAACAGTTCCAAATATTTTAAATGAAAAAATATATATAATGATACTTATAAAAATATAAGTATATATACATAAATGTACACATTTATATTAAATATATGTATATATTAAAAAATCTCCCTAGGTCTTGGGATCAAACAATACTGAATTATATTGGATGGGTAGTAAGAGAAGGAGGGGACAGTTCCTATATATCCTCATTGGAAAAAGTATAGATTTTTTATTAATCAACATTAAGCTCAAATAACATGAATCTTCTCCTAGGTATCCATTCTGTTCACCCAATAAGTGCAGAAGGTTACTTTCTGAATTCCAGATGGCATCACATATATTACCTGCTGCAACAAACTAAAACCCAAATGGGCACAAACATTCTGTTTTGAGAAATTATGAACTCCCAAACATCCAGAAACAAAAAAGCAAATCTCAACGCAAAATATGATACGCAGACATTCATAACACAAAAACACAAACACACAAGCCAAAACTCTTCCCGGACTAGGAGGTGGTTACAATGGTGGCACTAAAATTAGCTTTAATAGGCAGGTGCTAAAAAGATCCTGTGGTAACAGTCAAGTCCTTAAAAAAAACAATGTTCTAAAGTCCTAGCTAGGGAGGGAGATTTTACACTTGAGAACAGCCATGTTGTCTTAAAATAAAGGTCAATGCTGAATGCTAGTCTATTTATAATCCTATATAGATAAACCATGTTTCTATTATAGTGTTTAAGATGTGGGTGTGGAGGGTCACCATTTCACTCTAGTATCAAAAAAAAAAAAAGAATAGAAGGGCAGTAACAGAATAAGAGTGCAAAGGGCTAGAGAAGACAAAGATATTTCTCTCATTTAAGAAAGAATCATTCAGATACACACAAGGACGCAAGTACAAGGACAGTCATTGTAGCTTTGTTTATAATAGAAAAAATGAAAATAATAGAACCGCTAAAATTAAAAGTTATATAGTACAAATAAAAGGGGTAAATTTTAAAATTTTTTAAAGTGCAGAACAATATAGTATGTTAGCATTTATAAAACATTTTTAAACATACTGATATGTTTAAATTATAACATTATATCAGTATCTATCATGATATAACACAGTATATATCATTATGATAGATTTATTTGTAAAGATATAAAATAATATAATAACATTATATCAGTATCTATCATAATGATATAACACAGTATATATCATTATGATAGATTTATTTGTAAAGATATAAAAATGAAAGTAAAACTTTTAATAGTGCTTGTTTCTGATTGGGGTTGTGGGAAAAGAAGAGAATGGGAATAAGGACAGTGTTTAAAAAGAACTTCAACTATAACTGATGTTTTATATCTTTTAAGAATGTGGAAGCTAAAAACGCAACATCATCATAGATACTTAATCTGGGAAGTAGCAGTATGGTTGGTTTGCTTTTCTTTGTGCTTTTCAGTAACTCTTAAATTTCTCAAAATTGTAGGATACAGGAATAGCTTATTTTTTTCCCATTGAGAGTGACCGAGAAACAATTTCCGTAACTCAGGCAACCCCTGGGTTTTGCGGCAAGATTACCAGGTCCTTCCTCTTTAGAACTGTGTCTATTAACCTGAGTAAGGGAGAGCACATGTATCAACATAGAAAGTACGATGCTATTATGAGAACACCTGCCTGCATATTTCGGTTATTTCTTCAGTACCTGTGATGCAGTGTTAAGCATTATCAGGGGAAAAAAAACACTTAAAATAATAATAAAAGAATACTTTGCAGGGTACTTTTTGGAAGACAGACCTGAAATCATACTGCATGAGTACATGTCACCTTGTAATCAGGTCAGAAAAACAGAGAGGTAATCGCAATGTAATTGCTATGATTTCAACAGGTTCCATTCTGGACAAACCAGTGAAATGAGAAATACTTCAATAGCATTCAATGAAGAGCAGAAGATGTAAGATGATGTTACCTTGGCAAGTTCCGGCAGATAGCTATCTAAACTGGAACCAGAACCTTCCAATTTGCTTTGTTCATCATCTAAAATGGCAAAACAGATTATTGGAGTCACTTGTATTCATAGCATTTCATTTGAAACAGGAGGAGGAAGGCCATTTCTCTTAGGTGCCTTCAAATGAACACAGTGGTTCCCCACTCTGGATGCTCCCGGGAAACACTTGGGGTGCTTTGAAAAAATACTGATGCACAGGTCCAGTGGTGAGAGTCAAAACATTGAGTAGCTGGTATAGCATGGACACTGTCCAATTAGACCTGACACTAGCTATGAACAACAGCCCACATGGACACATCCATGAGACCCCCTAAAAGTCAGACCTGCCCAGGCTCCACCCCAGGCCAACTAAATCAGAATCTCTTGTGGGATCAGGTAAATGGTATTTTTAAAAAGCTCCCAGGTACTTCTAAGGGGAAGCCAGGGTTGGGAACCACATAAGGGTTGAAGTAAAACATGAATTGTCAAGAACATAGCCAGTTTTTTCTCACCAATTTAATCTGAGGCTCCCATGCATTCTAATTATTACTAATATTTTATAATACAGTAAAAATTCTATGCCAGATACTTGAGATTCATTTTCTTATTTACTCTCCCATCTTCCCAGCAATTTTCATGTTTATTCCCATTTCACAGGTGAGTCAACTGAGGCTCAGAAAACATAAGTTGTTTACCCAAGGCTACACAGCTGAAATACAGTATTTATGGGACTCAAACCCAGGTCTTCCTTTCTGCTTCCAAAGCTTTGGTTCTTCCCATTACATGATTTCCACATACAAAATGTCAGGGAAGTAGGTTATAATGTGGCAAAACCTTTGCGGACAGGCTATTTGTAAAGAGCTCCTATCCGTCCCACCTCTCATGTACTTGTGCAACACAAGTCTCCTTCCTATACCCACCTGGCAAAAATAAAGACACCCACAGAGTGTGTATGTGCCCGGGGGAAGCCAAGCTTGCCTACCTTCATGAGAGTCACCATTTCGCTTTTCTTGCATCGCGGCTTCAAAGTTGAGCTGGAGGATCTTATTTAGAATTGTGATCCATTCTTCCATTTCTACTTCGCTGTCTGCTGCCAAGAGATAACTACTTTTGTCCTGCATTTTGAGCTCAAAAGCAAAACGCCTGACTTTGTTGTTCTGAAATGAAAAAAGGATAAAGAGACATACTTTAAGAATTAGAACTGCTTTAAAATAATTTCTCTCTCTTATTTGTTGGTGAGTGTAATCTCATTGGCATTGAGAACCAAGCTATTTTAAACTGCAAGCCCCCTCCTCATGAAATCCCATCACTGCCCACCTTCCCCGTTTCACTTCCTGCAAGCTTTATTTTTCCATCTGACTCATTACCTGCTGTACATACTCATTTGATTGTGTGCCCCTGCAGTGGAATGAAAGCTCCTCAAAGCCCCCATTTTGTTCAGTGCTACACATCCTTAGTCCCTATGGACTCTACAGTGACTTGCACATAGTGAGTGTTTGAAAAATATTTGTTGAATAAAGGAAATTTCATGTAAAATTTTCATATTTCTTCAGCTCCTATTTTTTTTTTTTTTTTTGAGACGGAGTCTTGCTCTGTCGCCCAGGCTGGAGTGCAGTGGCGCGATCTCAGCTCACTGCAAGCTCCGCCTCCTGGGTTCATGCCATTCTCCTGCCTCAGCCTCCCGAGTAGCTGGGACCACAGGCGCCCGCCACCACGCCCGGCTAATTTTTTTGTATTTGTAGTACAGACGGGGTTTCACCGTGTTCGCCAGGATGGTCTTGATCTCCTGACCTCGTGATCCGCCCGCCTCGGCCTCCCAAAGTGCTGGGATTACAGGCGTGAGCCACCGCGCCGGCCCAGCTCCTATTTTTTTTTAATGAAGTAGTGTATGGTATTATATTTGTAAAAGCCAACCATTATCTATTATGTTTGGCTTACTTATCTGGAACTTTCCCATCCTTTATGAATCCCAAAAAGTATTTGGACTCCCTGTCCGTGGCCTTGCCTCCTGCCTCCGGTTTTCACGCCTGCAGGAGGGTGACTGGCTCAAAGAATAAGAGTAGTCCACGTGCAGTAGCAGACAGAAGATGAACATGCACTAGGCCAGGACTTCTCAGCCTCAGTATTACCGACACTTGGGCAGCCAATTCTTTGTTGTGAGGGGTTGGCCCGTGCATTGTACAATGATTAGTAAAATTTATGGTCTTAAGCCAACAGATGACAGTCTTCAGACATTGCAAGATGTCCTCCAGGGAGCAAAATCTCCCCAGGTTGGCTGCGCTAGACAGAGGTTCAGCTCAGAGGAACACGGCACAAGATCCCCTGTAAGGACAGGCGAAGTGATATGAAATCGAACACTTCCACTAACCTGGGCCAGCAAGACAGCCTCCCATATAGCCACTAAAATCCTAATGGGTTATCCACAGTCACTCTAAGAGTTCCTTGGTGGAGGTCTCAGGGACAGGGCAACCCTCCCAAAAGTCTCTGTGATTTTGCAGCACAGTTCTTAGAAATGCAAAGTCAAATGCTCCCCCTGGCAAAGTCACACACTCTTGTGCACAGACTGTCTGCTGTGGGCTCAGTAATTGTCACCTTGGATTTCACTTAAACTTCAAGACAAGAACCAGGGAAGAAGAGTCAAAGGCTAAAAACAAAATGAGTTTTCTCTCCTCCTTTCCCTGTATACTCACAATCGTGAAAAGAGAAAGTTAAAAGTGGGGGGGGAAATACCATTAGGACTCAATTCTAAATAATTTCTGTTTCTGAGTCTCAGTTTCCTCATCTGCAAAATAAGTATAATACATTTCAAGGGTTCTAAAATACTCAAAAATTTTTAGTTTAGGCATTTTTTTTTTTAATTCACAGCACCAGTCAACTAATTTTTTAAATAACATCCATAAGTAATAATTTTTAAAAACACTTAAATCACAACTTTTGACTCTTAGTTTACAAACAGACATAGATAAAAACAAATTATTTTACTCTTTTGAAGGCTTGGATACACTTTATTAAATGAAAAACACCATCAGCTGCATCTGCAAAGACATTTTGAAGGAAGAGACTTCCATTGAAATCAGAATCTTAGATTTTTGAAATGCACCCCAGAGACTAATGGATAGCTCAGGGCTGTTGTACTTACAGACAGCTGTCCCCTGGGCCAAAAACATGCAACAAAACTCTCTTATAAAACAAAAACAATTACTTCTTACTTTAAAAAATGAGGTTACCAGATATATTTAGGTTTGCTTTAACCTTCTTTTTAAAGTCAGTGCCAGAAAATTCAGCTAAAAAGTAACTTAACGGTCTTTTGACTAAAGAATACAAATAAAACTCCTACCTGGGAATCCCACCCAAGAAGTTAATTTACTGTCATTGAAACATCACTCTGGCACTCCTTACTTCATAAACACTGTCAATAAACATCCTCTGATATAATGAGGTTGTTCATAGTGGTGGCTTTCAGTGGAGGCTGAATTGCCAGCTGAGAGACATCCACATTCGCTGTTGACTGAAAATAATTTTCAGTGAGCATCAAGCGGTGCTACAGTCTTGATCTTGGGCCCAAGTACACTTTCATGTATTTTACCTTTTTTTTTTTCCTTTTTTTCTTTTTTTCGGTGGGGTGGGGATACTACACAGCGGTGTTTTGTTTGTTTGCTTTTTTGTAATCCTCTCAAATTACCTTTTGGTGTTTTTCGTTTATTTTTCAAAGTGGTTTTTAAAATTAGTTACCAATAATTGAAGTTACCAAAGTTTAATTCAAATTCTGTATTTCTCGCTTTTTGAGAAACCAGATGATCTGGCACCTTTGAGCTGGGGGTTCCACCTGGCGGTACCAGCTGCAGATGGGCAGCAGATGCCCCCTTTAAATGGAGCACTGGGCTCCAGGTCACCCCAGCATTCCCTGTTGATTTGCAACCAGGCCTCTCTGTCACTTAATTTACCTCCTTGGTCCCTGCAGACATCTGATTCTGACCCCTCCCTTCCACAGCTGACTGTGAGGAAGAAACAGGATCTGGACTTACTCTCCCACCATCATTGGTAGAAAAGTGGACAAAATACATGAAATAACAGTTTTTAGGTAGGGGGAAAAAGGCAGTGCAGCCCTTCCTTTGTAGAAGGGAAAGACATGAGGTGAGCCCCACATCGCCTCAGCTTTCTGCCTGGAGGCAGTATCTGAATTGCGGCACAGGAAGGGGAATCCAAACAGAGCGCCGCCATCTTGCTGAGGAGAAGACACTGACCAGACCTGGGGAAGACCAAGGTGGCCAGAATATGCAGGGCAGAGTCTCCAAAATGACAGGAAATAAAATAGCACAAAGGTAAGAGAGAACAGAGCTCCAGAAAGATCCACCGAGTCACACATGCATTAGGTATATGTTTTCTATATGTTATACCTTATTTTCTATTTATATGTTATACCTTATTTTCTCTTTATATGTTATACCTTAACAAAAAAGCTTACCAAAACATAAAATAAAAATCAAGACACAACCACCAAAATTTTAGAACACTGAAGAGAAGACCACAAAGAACAGGGATTCAGAATAACATCAGAATCCTCCAAACAACAGTGGAAACTAGAAGGCAATGGGATACCCTTGAAATTCCAAGGTAAAATGATTTCACTTTGAACTTTATAACTAGTCAAACTATGAGTCAAGCGTGAATGCAAAAATAAAGATATGAACAGATACCCTCATTCTCAAAAAATTAACATCTCACACACAATTCCTTAGAAAGCTGCAGAAGATGTGCTTCTCCAAAATAAGAAAGTAGAACAAGAAAGAGGAAGGCATAAGGTTCTAGAAACAGGAAGCCCAACACAGGGAGGAAGACAGGCCGAATGTCTAGATGGCAGGTATGCGGGGCAGGGAAAGCAATTCATCCAGATTAGAGGCCAAAGGAGGGTGCCAGGAGCTAAAATCCTATCTACCAGCACAGAAGTCATGCAAAGACGTCCAAAACCGATGAATGAAGAAACAGCAGTGAACACTTGTGATCTAGCACCACTACTATTTCAAGGGAATAGGATGTGAGTGGGTGAGGGTGATGCAGAGGTGAAGCATTGCCCTTCAGCACTGCTGGGCTTTTTTTTTTTTTTTTTTTTTTTTTTGAGACAGAGTCTTGCTCTGTCACCCAGGCTGGAGTGCAACGGCGCAATCTCAGCTCACTACAACCTCCGCCTCCCAGGTTCAAGCGATTCTCCCGCCTCAGCTTCCCGAGTAGCTGGCATTACAGGCACCCGCCACCACGCCTGGCTATTTTTTGTATTTTTAGTAGAGATGGGATTTCACCATGTTGGTCAGGCTGGTCTTGAACTCCTGATCTCAGGTAATCCACCCACCTCTGCCTCCCAAAGCGTTGAGATTACAGGCATGAGCCACTGTGCCCGGCTAGGCTGTTTCAATCGGACAAATGTATTCCTTGGAAGAAAATGCACTTTAATTTTGGGTAAACACGCAAATACATAACAAGTATACCTTTGGTCAAACCAGATAGCTGTGTCACACTGGCCCCACCAAACAATCTCCTTACAGAATCGAGCTACAGGCCGATGTGATCAGCCACCATGGAGTCATTTGAAGAGAGAATTCTTTGATAATGGTGACTGAATCTTTTGTGAGGGGTTGTTAGGAAGATTGTTCATCAATCACAGAGCCTTCTGTCTAAGAGGGACCCTGAGAAAAACGCCTGAATGATCTTCATTCGGAGACTACTGGGGCAGCTTCTGACTAATTGAATTGTCTGTATCTAATGTGCACTGTGAATTGTGCGACTGAACAGGTCTCCAAGTGAGAAGGCACAGAGCCCAGGTGGTGGCCCACCCATAGCAGGTGTTAGATCTTCAAAACATATGCTTTCTCCTTAACTCTATTTTCTCTCACCCTTATCCCAATCCCCTGTTCATCTTTCTGCTTTCACCCCCACTTTTAAGTTTATGCTATCCCATGTCCTGTGTATGCTTGTAAGCTGCTGCCTTAAATCTTCCTTGAAAGTGGCAAAGCTGGATGAATGGAGGGGTGGACAGATGGATGGATGGACAGATGGACAGATGATGGACAGGGAAACTGAAAACTCTCTTCCAAAGACAATGCTAAAAAGCTACAGAAGGATGCACGCAAAACTGGTAGTAGCTCCCCCCAGAGAAGAGAGACTAAAGAGGGGAGAAGGCGTCCAGAAGGACTTTCACTTTATGTGTATTACCTGATTTTTCACAATAAAAATATATTCATGTATTATGTATAATTAACAATAATTTTAAAGGATAAGTACATAAGCCCTATGATACAAAAGTACAACAGCCCTATGATTACAAAACTATCTAATATTGACCAAATGCTTACCATTTGTTGCCACTGTTCTAAGCTCTTTACATGTGTAATGAATTAACCCTCTCAGTAACCATATTTGGTACTGCCATTATCCTTATTTAACAAATGAAGAAACTGAGGGCATGCACTAAACTGTGTGCATGGTTACAGCGCTGGTAAGTGGAGGAGCAGGGATTTGAACTCAATCTGCACTGAAATCTAATCTCTTTACTGATCTACATGGCCAGTGGGTACTATAATGCTAGCGACAAAAATCACCACTGAGATACTATGAAGTGTTTTAAATATTTTCCTGCACTGATTCATCCAATGTGCTCATTTACCATATTAAAGAAACATTCTCATTATCTGAATTAGGTAGCCTGTTAAAGGTCACGCAGCTATAAAGTGGCCGAGCCAGCGTGCTCCTGCCTGCCACAGCATAATTCTGCCTCTACATTATCCCTTTCGTCTTCTATAATGATGAAAAACAAGACTTTCCTCATTTAAAGTTAGATGTTATATTTCTACCATGCGTATTGCCATTTTTAGAAGTGTTTGCTTAAATCTGCTATTTTTTATTTACACATAAGCACTACTGCAGATAAGAAAACGTAACGGCAAAACTCTTTTCATATTTACCTGAACCACACCCATACAGGAATCCAGAAATATTGATCCTTTTGGTTCTTTGGAGATCTTTTCATCTTTATAAAAATTCAAATTATAGGATCCATCGCCAAGTTGAATCAGGTGGAAAAATCGTCTCTTAAATGACTGAGAGAAAAATACACACACAGCGATTCTTTCAAAATGAAGAGGGTCACAATCTCTATCAATAACCCACTTATGACTACACACATACATAACACCTGTTTCCGTTCTCACTCTAGCTGACGCTCCAGGTTACTGCGGGGTTAAGACTCCCCATCCCATCTAAGAAGCTCACTGCATCTCAGCTCTGAGGAGGTGGTTCCCCTAATATCCATGGGTCATTTTTCTCACCCACGGAATCGGAGATTTTACATAGCTACCCAAAAGCAGTGCAGGGACTTCCAATTTGGGATGCAGCACAGAAGGACAGAAACTTTCTCTAAAATCCCCAGGGTTTCTTGCTCAGAGAATGGGAACTATTTTTGGCCTCAAGACGCTGAATGATTTTCCAGCCTCAGGGTAATGACAGTCACATTTCCTCCTTAATTTTTATCTCCCTGACTCGCTTGTTTCTATTCCCTTTGTTATTAATCCTGATGTTTCTCTGGTCCCACTTTCCTCCTGAATAGCTTCTTCTATTGGTGTGACTTCTCTCTCTGCAACCTTCTCCTCTATGCAACTATTTTCTTTTTTCGTCCTCAATTTTTGCTTTACTTGTTGCAGTACACCTCCACAGAAGTGCTCAGAATCGGCATGACAGATATGTCCCTTGGTGACATTCTGTGAGGTACTAAGGAACACTTTTCAGTTAGTATAGAGAAGAAAGCCTATTGTCAGTGACTGCACCTTCACACCAGCCGAGGGATGGTCTCCTTATGCTGGTGGTCAGAAGACAGCGAGGGAAAGTGGGTGGATGAGACTGTGCCAATTGGGGTGCTATCACCAGGGGAGCATCCTAGGAACCAGACAATGTCCCTTTTGTGGGGAAGAACAGCATGCGCATTCATCTTGAGCATTGTTCTAGAGCTCTATGGAAGAAAGGGCTGTGAGAGGGGAGGGCAAAGTGATGCGCGTCCTCACCCTCATGGTCACGCTGATGGCACTGTTCATGTTGCCTTTGTACAGCCAGCCATGCTTGGTGATCCCACCCTTCTGGGAACCGAGGGAGGCAGCATCCTAGGAGAGAAGGAAAACACCACCAGTCAACCTCCCGTTATTACCTGGGTTACTTGCTGTGAGTTTGGTCAATGGGAAGGTCATTCCCTTTGTGCCAAGTTGCCCATTGCCCCTGTACTGAAGTACCCATTGACACCAATGCCTACAAGTCACATAAAAGTCCACTTAGTGGTAAAAGAGATAGACCTGCCTACATTTCTGAAAACTTTATTCCATTAAAGGCAAAGCTAGCTCCTGTCCAAATTTTTATTTGTCAGTGTTTAATGAGCCACAGAAAGGACATACTTCAACTGACCACTCAAGTTGGAAGGTCTTGCCTGATTTCATGAAAAAATGTTTTCAAATTACACTCCCCTATAGTCAGAGGACAAAAGCACATTCCTGGAAACCTTCCCAGAGGCTTAGTTCAGGGAAAGGTGAATAAAGAAAGGGAGGAAATGTGAGGCAATACAGAAAGGAGAGATAAAAGTGATGGAGGGAAAAAAGAAGGAGAGACAGGCAAGAATGCAAGCAGGGATAGAAAGGAAGAAAGGGGGAGTCAGAGAAGTGAAAGGAAAGAGCTGACAGAAGTGAAGAGACCTGCTTTTTTAGCACAGACCCCATGCCGCAAGACCTGGGTTTAAGGAGAAGAGCATGGAGCTGCCACCTGCTGCTACAAATATGTTAAGCACACATTTGTATGTAGAATAGACAGACGAAAAATACACACACACACACAATCTGGCAAAGCTTTTGTAATCACACAGGCAATTGCAGAAAGATGCATCATATGCTTTGTCTTGGACCACCTCAACATTAATATTGGCGGTTTTAATATTTCTATTAACAGCATAATAGAAATAACTTACCATCTAGGATTTTACAGTTTAGTGCATGCCCTTACATGCTGTATTTCCATTGGTCCTCCTGTCACTATTCATGCTAATCAGCTCCAAGTTCCCAATACATTGTTCATTTTGAATGAGCAGTCATTTTTCTTAGAACTGTTTTAAAAGTCGTTTCTAAAACAATCTGCTGCATGCACATTGCTTAATGAGTGGCTAATGTTATAGCTCAGCTGACACATTTTTTAAAAACGAAAAACCTGAACTCACAATGGGACACTTAACAACCAATGGGGAGGATAAGAAATGCAGAGATGGGCACTGTCTTCTTGTGAGGTTTCCCTCACTCGGTGGGCAGACTCACCTCAATGCCCCACTCCCTTTACATACTTCTTTAGCCATGAGTTTTCTCTAGGAATAGGGGGAGTGGGCTTGATAAAATCAGACTTCTCTCACTAAAAACAATCATTGAAGAAATAGCCATTTAAATCTACTGGCTGGCAGCTGTTTTGAGATCTGTTGAAAAACAACCTAAATTCAAGGTCTAAGTCATCTTGATATCTTTTAACAGTGTAGCCAGATCTGATCCAAGTCTTTGAAAATGATCTCAGAACAAATAAACACAACCAAGAGAACATGAAATGCTAAGCAGTAAAGTTGAAACAGAGACCTTATTCCAATCAATCAATAACATTTTAAAAAAATTATTCCGTTTCATGTAACACTCCAATGCCTATTTTGGCTAAATGTCGGTAATTTTCTAACTAATCTTGTAAGTCTGTAAAATTCATGTTTAAATCTAGAGTGAAAAGAGAAGTAACAGCAAGCAGGTATCCCACCTCATCTTTGTCGACCTCCTCGTCAACTTCGTAGACATGAACTGGAAGTTTATCCAACTTGACCACTTTGCTATAAAAACAACAAAGAAAATTTGTTTTAGAAATGCCTAGTCAAAGAAGAGGCTTTGCATTTCCTCTTCCATCAGAGGGCCCAGCCTTTACTAAATCCAAAGATGGCCCAGCTTCTCTATTCAGACAAAGAATAAAACCATCTATGCCCGTGCTTTTCAAGGTGGGTAAGCCAAGAGACTGGAGTAACAAAGCTCCAAAAAGCTATGTGGAAAAGACAGCATAGCTTCTGGGGAGTCAGCAGGCATATTAAAAGTAAGAAAGTAATTAGTTTTTAATAAACAAAGACTTGGTAGAATAACTTTTAATACAAAGTTTATGAGGAAAAACAGGAAGATTGAGTTGTTGCATTGAAACTGATTAACAATGATGGCATTAACCACAACAAAAACAAGACACCAATATCAATAGCAGCTTGCATTTACTCAATGGGTATGAGGTGCCAGGCCCTGTGCACTTCTCATGTGCCCTCTCATTTAATCCTTTAATGATGGTGACTGTTGTTAAGGCCATTTAACAGATGAGGTAAATCAGGCTTACAGAGGGCAGAGTTGTCCAAGGCAGAACACAGAATCTGTGTTCTTCATCACTTTACAATTCTCCCTCTCTTTCTCGTCGCACATTTGGAAATGCTCATTAATGCCAATAGGGAAAATATACCAGCAGTCTAATAGATAGTAAGTAAACGACATCACATAGTCTGATATATTTCAACCCTTAGACTATGAACAACAGGATCAACAAAGATGGGCTAAGCCAATCCAATGGGAAGAATTAAAAAATCCCTAAGGGAGGATTGGGTAAATATAGAACTAAAGAGCACACCCATCTGGAGAAGATAATGCTAGGAGGGAGTGTTCCTGGCTGAGGTTTAAAAAGAGGCAATCAGGGAACTGGCCGAACACACTTAAGGAGTGGCAAAGCCACACACGGAGGAAAAACAAACAGCTAGGTCCACTAAGAACAGCATAAAAGGTTCCAGCTCAAAGATGTAACAAACACAAAGAAAAATACATTAATCAGGTCTCAAGTAATATTTTCATTGGTGATGGTTAGTTTTAAAACATAATCCATCACGATTTGCTTTCAATTTTCTCAAAATCAAGTACACTTCAATTTGCCAACTGCTATGGTTTGGATATGGTTTTTATTCCCACCAAAACTCAGATTGAAATTTGGTCCCCAGTGTTTTATTATTGGGCCTAGCGGGTCATGGGGCAGATCCATCATGAGAGACTTGGTGTTATTCTCACAGTAATGAGTGAATTCTTGTTCCTGGCAAGATGGGATTGATTGTTGCTGAAATGGATTAGTACCCAAGAGAATGGGTTGTTATAAAGTGAGGTTCCTCCTCCTCTTTGGTCTCTTTTCACAAGTGCCAACTTTCCCCTTTGACCTTTTCCATCATGTTTTGAAGCAGCACAAAAGTCTTCAACAGAAGCTGAGCAGAAGCCAGTGCTATGCTTCTTGTACAACCTGCAGAACTATGAGTGAAATAAATCTCTTTTCTTGGCCAGCAAAGGTGGCTAACACTTGTAATCCCAGCAGTTTGGGAGGCAGAGGCAGCTGGATCACCTGAGGTCAGGAGTTCGAGACCAGCCTGGCCAACAGGGTGAAACCCTGTCTCTACTAAAAACACAAAATTAGCCAGGCATGGTGGCACATGGCTGTAATCCCAGCTACTCAGGAGGCTGAGGTGGGAGAACTTGGGAGGTGGAGGTTGCAGTGACCCAAGAGCGTGCCATTGCATTTCAGCCTGGGCGACAGAGTGAGAATCTGCCTCAAAAATAAACAAACAAACAAACAAATAAATAAATCTCTCTTCTTTATAAACTACCCAGCCTCAGGTATTTCTTTAAAGCAACACAAAATGGACCCTTTTATAACAGATAGTCTGTCAAGGCAATACCTAGCTACCCCTGATTCACTTTAGCCACCACTATTCAATCTAAATACACTTGCTTTTGGTATAGTCTAGAATAAGTTAATACTTTAAAGGAGGTAAAAAATAAAAAATTTTAACTGGGAAAATGCTTGTTTCTTGATTTACTTTTTCTTAAAACATAAAATTTATTCAATGTAAAATGCTCTTTATAATTATCTTCTTCAAAATACTCTTTTCAAGGAAAAAATACACTGCAGCATATTTCAGAACACTTACATTTTCTTTGTTTTATATTTCGTAGTGAAAAAATTTCACCTATTTATTTATCAGTGGTACCCTGAAAAGAACCACTGGACATAATTAAACCACCCACACGTTTATTACTACCTAGCAATACCAAAGCAGCATGTTTGAGTCTTACAATCAAAGGCCCTGTAAATAATAGTTACACCACATACACATAAACCATCCAGAAATGTTTTCCCCAATTACTCTGATTGCATATGAAGTTACATACCTCCCCGCAAGCATTTCAAGTACACTTTTCCCTATGCGTATAATATAGTTTACTCACTTCGGAAGCTGTCGAAACTCTCCTGAGTAATCTTCATATTTATAGTTCACAAGATGCCAGTCAGAGTTATAGGTTTTGATGCACTATTGAAGGGGGATTTGAAAAATAGAAAGTAAAAAACAGAGAGGTATGTGATGACTTTTGGAAAACACTTGGGAAAGATTGTGAAGGCATACCCATACAAACATCAAAAAAAAAATCTTTCCCATCAACCAGCTAATGCCTGAAATTCCACCACCAGAGATTCCTGTGAAGCTTGAGACTTTGAACCATTGAAACATTACCCTTGGGGGCAGTATCACTTTAAGTTATCATCATTAATGATCTGAGAGCAGGTTTTACAAGAAGACAACTTCACCTAACCTTATAACATTTACCTAACAATGGACTATTTCAGACTAAGCACCTGGTGCTTAAAAAGCCATGTGGCCTCTACTATGACATGAAAGTGAACAGAATGCATGAACTTAAAGACGCATTAATGGTATTTACTAATACTAGAACTAGTTAGCTCTGTTAGTTAATATTATCATGTAAATTTGCCCTCAGTTTTTCTTTCCATTCATAAGGAAAAGAGTGAAATAATTAGGAAGAAAGGTTTAGATTCCAATTAATGTTAACACGATGACATTTTCATCTCTGTGTGTGTACAGAATGTTTAATGTAGTCCTCCACTGCCAAGGATTCTATTAGTGACCTAACCTACACAGACCTCATTCAAACTACCTCGCCACATGACAGATTCAATGGGCCAGCCTGGTGTCTGTCGTTCATCTCCCCATGAAGATCCTCCAGTAGTGCATAAAGCCTAAGATTTTAATGCCACATCCACCAGATCTTCAAATATGAATGAGTCAAAATCAAAAACTATAGAATTTTAGTTAAAATCAGCTTAGCTCAAATGATCTTCTGTACAGTCAGCACTTGACTATATATGTGCAGACTTCAGCGTGGGGGGAAAGAAAACAGGAGTGAATTCATGAAAATATAGGTAGATAAATGTATTTATGCCTTATCTAGTTTATTTGACTCCGGCTGTAACTAACATGAACAACATCTCTATTCTGCTTCTTTCACTTCATCGTTTCTACTGTCAACGTTTCCATCTGTGTCATAGGCCATGCCTGAAGGCTTTCTGAAGCAAATCCCTCCACCTCAAAATCATGAAAATAAAAATTGCAACAGCAGCAAACGCTTATTTTGTGCCAGGCTCTACAATAAGCACTCTACTGGCAAGGGTGTGATGTGAAGGTAATGTAAGTTTTTAAAATCACTCTGAGAGGTGGAACAAATAGCAGAGAAGGGCTAAGCGCAGAGTCACATTTTGGAGCTGGCCAACTCTTCCATTTTTTTGCTCTGTAGACACGAATATTTTAAAATGCTACTTTATCCTTGAAAATGATTGTTTTTAGATTTCTCAAAGCATTTTCACATTTAGAGTATTATACACTCAAAATTCCATTCCAAAACCAATCAGATTTCATAATAATCCATAGTTTTGGATTTTCCCACTACTGCCCCTAGGTCCACTGGCACAGTTAAGTAGTCAGGCCTGACTACGTATGACACGGTCTTGTAGGCGTAATCCTATTCTCTTCAAAGAGCCACAGCGGTTTTTCAACAAGCACTGGAACTAAAGTTGTACCACCAAGTCTCCTGCAGGACATTAAAACTATTCTGAAGTATAAAATGTACCTGCCCAATTAAAAACTAAATAAACCAGCATGAAATGCATTTATGAATAGAGCCCAGATTTTTTTTTTTTTTTTTTTTTTTTGAGATGGAATCTTGCTCTGTCACCCAGGCTGGAGTGCAGTGGCACAATCTCGGCTCACTGCAACCTCTGCCTCCCGGGTTCAAGCGATTCTCCTACCTCAGCCTCCTGAGTAGCTGGGATTACAGGCGCTCACCACCACGCCCAGCTACTTTTTGTATTTTTAGTATGTACGGGGTTTCACCATGTTGGTCAGGCTGGTCTCAAACTCCTGACCTCGTGATCCACCCGCCTCAGCCTCCCAAAGTGCTGGGATTACAGGCGTGAGCCACCGCGCCTGGCCAAGATTTTAATACCTTAGGCAAAATGGGGAAAATAATTACACTTTATTATGTTCAAATATTTATAATTATAAGGAATTGCACATACAAAAAAAAAAAAAAAAAAAAAAAAAACTCCACAGTGAATCTGGCTAAGTATTTAGAGATCCATTGATTTAACAAGCCAGTGTTGACTATCTACATAGCAGGCATTGGCTAAATTCCAAAGCAGAAGCACAGAATGAGGCAAGCAACCCCTACTCCTCCGGGGATGTAGAAAGTCTAGGAGATAAGGAGTCCCATCAGAAATCCAGATCTGGAGAACTGTACCTCCAAAAAGACAGGAATGTGACTGACTGATTACATGATTAACATTTCAAACCTGTGAAATTCAATAATATTTAGAAGTTACACTGAAAAGTTTTTGAAGTTTTTTTTCTGCTTTGTTTTGCTTTGTTTTAAGCCATTAGGTCATTCTCTGGATCAGAGGATGAAGAGGAAGTGATGTTCACTCCACCCAAGTGGAAGGGTCCCAAAAGTGTTTAGTTATGTTGGCTCCAGCAGCATAGGATGAAGCAGCTATTGCTCAACCTGCAGTGATTAAATAACTTAATGGAGAATTCTCCCTCAAAAAACCATATTTTTTTAATCAACTAGGAGAACTGAGTTAGCAATTAATAATTTTGCCACATGCTTTAAAACACGGGTCAACAAACTTTATGTGCAAAAGGCAAGATCATAAATATTTTCAGCTTTGAGGGTCATATGATCTCTGTTACAACAACTTAACTTTGAGTTGCACGGTGACAGTAGCCATAGGCAATATGTAAACAAATGTGCTTGGCTGCTTTACAATAAAACTTTATTTACAAAAATAGGCTACAGGCTAGATTTTGCTTGTAGGTAATAGTTTGCCACTACCTGCCTTAAAAAGACATTTATAACTACATTCACAAACACATCTGGCTGTATTTGTCTGGAATTAAGTTTACTAATATAGTGGCAAAGGAGGTAAGAAAGGAAGTTACTTTCTCAGAAAGATGAGAGAACACACTTAAAATTTTTTTAATTTTATATTTAATTTTTTAAAAATCTCAATGGAAATTAAATATTGTTATTTAATTGGTCTTTATTTATAAGAGTATATATAGCTTCCTTATATAAGCTATATAAAAAGCAGTTTCATTGATGGGCATATTTATGATCTAAATATCAACTAGAAAAACCAGGATTTAAAAAATCATTATTTTTAAAAAAACTTAAAGAAACAAAACTAAAACACCTAATTAATCCTTCCTACCAAAAATTACCTGGAGGAAAAAAGAAACACTCCAAGGGGGAAAACTGAAGCAAACAACCTAGATTATAATAATTTCTCTATCTGGCTAGGCACAGTGGCTCATGCCAGTAATCCCAGCATTTTGGGAGGTCAAGGTGGGCAGATCACTTGAGGTCAGGAGTCTGAGACCAGCCTGGCCAACAGGGTGAAACCCTGTCCGTACTAAAAATACAAAGGTTAGCCAGGCGTGGTAGTGTACACCTGTAATCCCAGCTACTCGGGAGGCTGAGGCAGGAGAACCACTTGAGGCAGAGGTTGCAGTGAGCCGAGATTGCTCCACAGCACTCTAGCCTAGACAACAGAGCAAGACTCTTGTCAAAAAATAAAAATAAAAAAGTAAATAATTTCTCTTTCCTCCATAAGAGAATTTTATTTGTATTTTCAAACAAAAGTAATATTAATCAATGTATCTTGATCAGGAATATATAAAGTAATCAATATATATAATAATATATATTGACTAGCAATAGACCCCGCTTATTATCAGCTAGTACTTCATGAATACTAGTCGAAAATAATTTGCAAATATTTTGTATAAATGAAATAAATGATACATAAGTGTGTGTGTCACCGTTAAAAACAGTATCTATAACAAGGCCTCCCACAGATTTCCAGTGAATTCATTTATAAGTTACTCCTTATTTTAAGCCCATGAGATAAATTCTGTGGAATTCACTTTTTGTAGTCAGATATAGCCTCCTCCAAATAAGTAAAATTTTAAAAATAATAAAAATGTAAAAAAGAAATAGCCCCTGTGGACATTTCTGTCCAAGTTTCAGAGTCTGAAAACTTCACATTATTCTTGTATTCAAACATCCATCATAGAAATATAATTACCCTTTGACACTTTCTTGACAATTTTGAAATTTAAAGAAAAAGAGGCAGTTAGAGGGAAATGACTTTAAAATGTAAATTAATACAGGAAAGAGCCTTACCTCTGTAACAAACAAGCTCTGTGCTTCCTCTTCCGCCTTCGCAGGCACTGTTGAGCATATGTATCGACCCTGTCGTCTCAGGATGGCCGTCTGGAAACAATAACAGGAGGAAAAGCCTTGGGTAAGTGAAGGAGGCAGGTGCCAGCCTCAGAGTGCAGCTGTGTGCCCTGCAGCTGGGCCTGGCACCCACAGAGTCCCTCCAATTTCCCCCATCCAGTGCAGCTGCCTCCTTCGGTCACACACAAGAGATTCCATTTGGCAACCTCAAGTTCCAAAGCCAGGCTGGGTCACAGCTCCTGCTTCTTTCTGAATCAGGCGCCCACAGATCCCTCCAGCCAGCCCTTCCTGCAGGGTAGAGGTCCCTTTCAAAGTCTCTAACATCCCACCCCCAATTGCTTGATCTAGTCCCATGACATAGCGTCTTACTTGCCTTAACTGCTTTTATTGTGGTAAAATATACATAAATTTACCATTTTAAACATTTTGAAGTGTACAGTGGCATTAAGTATATTCATGCAATTGTGCAACCATCACCACCACCCATCTCTTGTCATTTACATCTGTTCTTGTTCACTGCCACATCCCCAGTGCCTAAGAGCATAGATAACTAGACACACAGAAGATCCTCAATCAGTAATTGCTAAACGAATCTATGAACTGGGAAACCTCCCCTCCAAGGGACATTAGAACTGTTCTTGTTCATTAGGGTTAAATGCTTCTTTTAAATAAAATGACAAGGCAGGGGTAGCATCCTGTCTACCTCAATAATTGAGCTTAAGGTTTCATTTTCTTTTTCTTTTTAATTAATTAATTTATTTATTTATTTATTTATTTATTTTTTGAGATAGAGTCTCACTCTGTCGCCCAGGCTGGAGTGCAGTGGCGCGATCTCGGCTCACTGCAAGCCCTGCCTCCTGGGTTCACGCCATTCTTCTGCCTCAGCCTCCCAATTAGCTAGGACTACAGGCACCCGCCACCACACCTGGCTAATTTTTTGTATTTTTAGTAGAGACAGGGTTTCCCCTTGTTAGCCAGGAGGCACAGTCTGTCTCCCATCTCCCTAAATCTGGGCTGGCTTTCACCAACAAAATGAGATAGAAGGAATGATCATCAGTTCTAAGCCTAGCCTTTGTTGTTGGTGGTGTTTTTTGAGACAATATCTCACTCAGTCACCCAGGATGGAGTGCAGTGGGGCAATCACAGCTCAGTGCAACCTCATCCTCCTGAGCTCAAGTGATCCTCCCACCTCAGCCTCCCAAGTAGCTGGGACCACAGGCATGAACCACCATGCCTGGCTAATTTTTATATTTTTTGTAGAGATGGGGGTCTCACCATTTTGTCCAGACTGGTCTTGAACTCCTGGGTTCAAGCAATCCTCCCACCTTGGCCTCCCAAAGTGCTGGGATAATAGGCATGAGCCACCGCACCGGGCCCAAACCTAGCCTTCAGAAAAACTGGGAGCTTCCACTACCTCCTTCTTGGAAGCCAGTCACCATATAAGAAGTTCTGTCATCTTGAGACCACCATGGTAACAGGAAGTACAAGCTACCTATAAAGAGAGGATATATACAAGATGCCCCACCATCCCCCAGCTGGTCTCAGCCACCCCAGGCGAGATACCACAATGTGAGCACGGAAATATCTTGGACATTCCAGTTCCTACAGTGTAAAACAGAAGAACCACCCAGCTGAGCCTTGACCAGATTTTAGAATTGCAAAAAATAATAAATTATTGTCTTAAGTTACTAGGCTTTGGGGTGGTTTGTTACTAAACAACAGAAAACCAAAACAAGATTGTAAGACACTAGGAATACCTCCAAGTTACAGTACCGAAGAATACTGCCATTTTCATGAAAATGGATTTCAAATACTAGCTACACTACAGAGTTAAGACAGAAGCACTGAGGAGATACACTATGCTGCAATCTCATTTCCACAGTCTCCCTTCTACTCAATGCCACGAAAGAGGTCAAGTAAGATGCAGTAAATGCCTGTTGGATCTTGAGAGTAGTTAGTAGTGTCTTATGAAAAATATTCTACTGATCATTTAAGGACTCAGCATAAATATTACTTTATCCATCCATCCATCCATCCATCCATCTATTCACACCTTACTGGGTCCCTACCTTCTTCCAGACACTGAGCTAGCAGCTGCAGACACAAACTTTAATAAAATATAGTTGCTATTCTTTTAAAACTTACAGTCTGATGAAAGAGAATGATGAGGAAATAATTATTAGAGTATAGTAAGTACAGAAGAGTATAGAGAAAAGAGCACAGAAGCACAGGATGTGAGAGAAAAAATAGGGAAGTCTAAATTCAGTAAGGTAGAGAAGAGGACATCGAGAAAAGGTACACTGAGGGAAAGCTAAAATTAGCTTAAGCTAAATTGTAAAGGATGAGCACAAGTTATATTCAGTACAAAACTAAGAGAAACATGGAGATAAACTTACCCTTGGGAAGTTCAAAGCACAAAATTGAGATATAATGAATGAGATTAACTCTTTGCCAATAAATAAATAAATAAATAAATCTATTAAATCCTAGAACTAAAAACTTAAGTCAAAGGAAAGACTGCCTAGAATTCTCACTGACCTTGAACTAAACAGCACTAAAATTCCACATCTGGGATAAGAATAGGCCAACAGAAAGAACCAGGCTTCCATGGCTGGAGGAATTCTGTCAGTGTCCCTATCACTGTTTAAGAGAAAGGTTGGAGCTGGGCGCGGTGGCTCACACCTGTAATCCCAGCACTTTGTGGGGGCCAAGGCAGGCAGATCACTTGAGATCAGGAGTTCAAGACCAGCCTAGCCAACATGGTGAAACCCCATCTCTACCAAAAAATCAGGCAGCGTGACGGCGCACGCCTGCAGTCTCAGCTACTTCGGAGGCTGAGGCACGAGAATCGCTTGAACTCAGGAGGTGGAGGTCACAGTGAGCCAAGACCATGCCACTGCACTCCAGACTGGGTGACAGAATGAGAGACTGTCTCAAAAAATAAATAAATAAATGAATAATAAAAGAAAGGTTGGAACCTATTAGGCTGGACCCACGGGGGAGGGGAGGACTACTAGGCTTGGCACCAATGGGGCCGTCAATGTTTGATACCATCAGCTGCTAAGGTCTTCTAATTCATTGCCCTTGCTCTGAGTATAGTCTCACCGAGCCACTTATTTATAATATGCTTCCCATTTAGACTTTCCTACTGGGAGAAAATACACAGCCAATATAATATTCTGATCTGCTGGTGAATTCTAGTTCTCAAGGCATATTAATAAAATAAAATGACATTCTGGTTTGTGCTCTTGTGGGGTTGCCTGCAACAAGTCAGTTCCCCTGAGCCTGAAGCACTCTGGGTGACCAAATTCCATCTCTGGACTTGCAAACCTGAGGTCTGATCCTGTACCATGGTGACCTTATAAACCACTCCAAGACCTGTCTGAACAGTTAGTCAACCCTAACTCCATTATCTAAAACTCTCCTGTACCCACATGCCCTTCTTTACCCCATCAGATCGCAAATTCCTTTGAGAACAGGAGATACGTCTTCCTATTTCTAGCTATGTGCTAAATACTCAATAAATGTTTCAAGAATGAGCAAATACACTTTGGGAGGCCAAGGTGGGAGGATCACTTGAAACCAGGAGTTCGAGACCAACCTGGGTAACATAACGAGACCCTGTCTCTACTAAAAATAAAAAAATTACCCAGGCCTGGTGTCATGTGCCTGGAGTCCCAGCTACACAGGAGGCTGCAATGGGAGGATCTCTTGAGACCAAAAGTTCGAGGCTGCAGTGAGCTGTGACCAGGCCACTGCACTACAGCCTGGGTGATGGAGCGAGACCCTGTTTCAACAAAAGAAAAGAAAGAAAAGAAGGAAAAGAAAGAAAAGAAAGAAAAAGAAAGGAAGGAAGGAAGGAAGGAAGGAAGGAAGGAAGGAAGGAAGGAAGGAAGGAAGGAAGGAAGGAAAGAAAAGAAAAGAATGAATAAAACAGTCAATGGAGACAGAAATAGGAATCTACCAATAACAACCATTACTTGCATGTAAGTTTTTTTCCCCTATTATTACAAAAAGTTATCTGGTCCATTATAAAAACTGACAAGGGAAGACTATAGCATGAGTGAACGCTCTGTTTTAATTTCTCCACAGATTTTATGTATTAAAAGTCATATTCAGATAATCATCTACTTTATGCCAAACTGATTCACATTATATTTCTATAGTTTTATTTATTTGGCTTACAGACAAGTCCAAGTCAATACTAAGAGATTTATACTCCAAAAGCACTAAAGTGCTTCTCAATAAGAAGCCAAGTTTTCTTTTTCATAGCTGTGGTATTATTTTCTACTTTTCTATCAGTTAAAACCATATTTCTGCTAAAAGATGGGTTTATATCCTTTATATCCACTTTATATAAATCAAAATCAAGGTGGGTATTCAAAGCATACCAATCCTATTTCTATGTCTGGAAACAAACCATTTCCATTCTAAGAAATCTGTACATTTGAAAAGGGAAGGGGGAAAAAAACATTTCACACCATAACTAGTGTAATATGTGTCTGAAAATTAAACCTAAACATTGCTAGCATCTCAGATAACTATTGGGATAGAAATCTCACAGCATAAACATAATTTCAAAATAAAAGCCCTTTACCAAGGTATGCACCTGCAAGAAAGAAAAGGAAAAAGAAAAAAGAAAAAAAGAAAGGCAGATAGATAGATAGATGATCAACAGATAGAAAGATAGATAGATAAAAGCCCTTTCCTAGCTATTATAATAGAAGGCAAATTATTTTCAGTCAGTATCATTACTTAGGTTAAACATGTGGCCTTTGACACTAAGAAATTCTTAGTTACCTTCAGCAAATATGGACAGGAGTCTTACAGGAAGTTCCACAAAATCACAGGCATAATTAAAAAGGAAGAAAAAGGGGTGACATCCTTTCCCAAAGTGCTTATATGAGGATGCACAGACACCTGAGAGCCCCAGTCTCAATATTTATGGGACAGTTTGTTTTTCTTTTTCTTTTTCTTTTTTTTAACAGAATGAGCTAGAAAAGCACAGAGTTGCTCCCAGAATAAAAAGAGTG